GATGCGCTCCTGCGCGGTGGCCTGCGAGATCAACCGGCTGAGGAACGAGAAGGCCAGGGAGCTCATCCTCCGCTGCTGGTGGGTGATTGGCCGCAGGTCGCAGGGGCCGATCACCAGCGCACAGTGGTCGCTATTCGGGTCGTCGACGGGCCGCCTGCGGTCGCACAGGCGCCACGCCGCCAAGGTGGCGAAGAAACCTCGTGGGACCAAGGTGGGGGAGGGCGATGCTCGGGATGCCCGCGGGGATGCTACGGCCGTGAAGTCGCCGGTGAAGAAGGGCGGGGGGCCGAAGGAGGGGCACCTTGTGTCGGAGAGCGACATCAAGCTGGAGCTGGCCCGGGTTGTGGAGGAGGGGGGCAGCGAGCAGATGCGCCAGGACAGCGACGCCCGGGACGTGGCGTTCTCCCACGCTGTGACGGCCGCGCTGGAGCGGCGCCTCAAGAGCTGGAAGGCCGGCCGCGTCCAGCCGGCCGCCTCGGTTCCTGGCCCCGCCGCGGGCCCGTCCAGCCGGATGGCGTCCGTCGTGTCCAGCAGGTCGATGAGGGCGCGCCTCCGGTCGGGGAGCATCCCCGATTTGCAGGTGGAGTTCGGGGAGGGCGCGACGCGGACGATCCCCGCCCCGGACGCGTCCTCCGGAGGGAAGATGGAGAGCTCGCCGTTCACCCTCGTGCGCACGCTGCCCAAGAACACCGGCGAGGGCAGGTGGAGACCGGAGAACAGGTGGGCGATCGCCGGCATCGATGGGCAGTGGCGCGATCGCTGGTTTAGTGCGGCGCCTGGCAGTGGCGCGCGTCGGCTCAAGCCTTCTCTGCCGTTGGGGCCCACGCGCCGGCCGCGAGGACCCTTTGGAGGGGCCTGCTGCCCGGCCTCGCTTCCTGGCAGCCAGACTCGGCCTTCGTCGTTGGTCGGTGGGGGGGTGGCTCTCGGTGTTTGTCGGATGGGTTCAGCATTTTGTTGCATGCATGCGCATGGATGGGGCGTAAGTAATGACCTCATGGCGCGCATCCACGCAATGCACTGGTGCAGCGCGTGGGGTGGATGCCTCTGGGTGGGAACACTGGGAAGTCCCTGTCCAGCAGCCAATCAAGAATGAATCAAGAACGAAAGGAAGATCGGGGTGTCAGCAGTTGCCAGTTGGCCGTGAACTTCCCAGGAAGGCACCCGCAGGACCCCGCTTCGATTGTACTGCAGAGGATACGACATTGCGCTGCGATCGGGCCTAGTGCACATCACTCCCCGGCATCACTTGACAGCAGCAGCGCCGCAAAGCCGCCTCTGTTAAATTATGAGCTGCAAGCTCATCACTAGTTTGGTTGTGGCTCAAATGGGCACTTGCAACTAAAGTGCATTCGGTACTCATTGCGTGTCGGCCGCCTGCCACCTGTTAAAGGTGCGGCGGTGGTATTTGATCTACTCTGTCGGGCACAATCTATGCAGCATTGCGCCTTGGTTGGACTGATTCTGCCCATGCTCTGTCGTTCTCAGAAAACGCTCGGGCTTGAGGTTGATTCAGGAACCACCCTGTTTCATGGGGGCTCAATGTAGTGCGAGTACTATCGTTACCACGACTGCCTTCTCAAGCACTGCCTTTTCAATGGTGGCCAGCACAATACACCACTGGGCAGAATACCTGGCAGGAAGTGTGCGACTTGTGTGCAGTATTTCGTCACCACAGACAGTCGTGTGCTTGCCAAGCAAAGTTATTGCATTGGCCACCTGTGTCATGATTGTGTATGTGTGTACTCTCTTGAAGTGGTGCAGCTGGGCTTGTGATGCGAGTGCCACATTCTGCACAAGTCAGCGCCCAGGAGCTGAATAGAGCGGAGCAGAAGAGTGTTTGTTCCGCAGTTGCCAGAACTATAATGTGTATCGCGATGCTTGTCAACTTTTGGAAACTTCTGCCAACTTGCTGATGTTCAGGGTTCCTTCTGTGCAGACGATCAGGGCCGTACCGCGTGCTCTCGCTTTGACATGCGGGGTTCAATCTGGACAAGAAACAGGAGAAGAGGGCTATGATATTTGCATGCAATGCAATGCAGTGCATGGTAGGCTTGTAGATTCTGGTTTGCAGAAATTCGGATACTCTGCACAGTGTGTGGTATTGACAAACGTAGCTTGGTAGCTGGGGACCCTGGCTTCACGCTGTGCCACTATTGATTGGCTCATCTGCAGGAAGAGTATCAATGCGGATAAGGCAGCAGCTTGGACAGGGCAATCTGTTGGTTGGGGTGGCGAGTTTAGTTCGCGTGTACCAATTTTTGTTGGTGTGCCTGCAGCAACTGTTGGGATACAGACCAGGTAGAAGTGAGGACAGGCTGTCCCGGTTTGTAGATAGTGGGATTACATGGGAATTGCTGTTGTTCTGCAATATGAACTGGTTGGGTTGTCAAGGCAATCCACCTCCAGTGGTGGTTGACTCAGGAATCAGTGTTGTTGCGCAATTTGACGCCAGCAGGGCTGTTAAGGCAATCTCTCCTTGGAGGTCTGTGGTGCTGGAGGCAGCTGTTAGCAGGCACTTCGAGCTTGAGACTTTGAAAACCCAAAAGCGTAGCCATTGTTTTTTTAACACGAACGAGGCATTGGCCATATCATGTGCTGCTTGTGGGAACCTTGATTCTGTCAAAAACACATCTGCATCCTGGATGTATCCTCCAGCAGACAGTTGGTTTTGTGAATGTGGCATTCCGCGAAGCTGCCATTGTGAGTGTGGCAAGGTTAAGATTGACGATTTCATGAAATGGACAGTTCCAAACTTGCTATGGTAAACAGGGCAGGTGTGGAATTTTGCACGTCCCTACCCTGGTGCCAGCAAAAAGCTGTATCAGCTAGCCTTTGCAGTTTTGTGCCTGGGCACGCTGGCTGACAAACCAACTGTTATGTTTCAGAAGAGCAGCTGCTCAACGGTGCTCCACACACCCACTGTGGTGGTGGTCGACCTGCTACAAGGAGTACTTCCACCGCGTTCACTGTCCTCCCGGTCTCTTCCAATTTATGCGCACTGCCGTTGTTGTTAATCCTGTCGATCAGCGAGCGTCGTGGTACTAATTCTAGCCATGGTGCGGCGCAAGTATAGTATAGCCATAGTATGTGGCAGATCCGTTCTTTGTTCGCTCTGCAGCAGAGTCAAGCCAACACCATTGCGGCTGATTGACCACCAGGTGTCCTGCGACGTTGGAGAGCAGCAACGGTCAAGAATTCTTTCTCCAGGGCAGTGCGCGTAGGTCGCATCAATTCGAAGGGGTTCTTTTGCACGGATAGCTGTGCACCAGACAAATTATGCTGGCGTTGGCTTATTCTTGCGTCTGTTGTGTTCAATTAACCGCTTGTGATGTTGTGTCTGCACTCAATTTGGGCTAGATGTCTCACGGTTTGTGCCTGATTGGATGACAGAACACGATAGACCAACTAGATTTCACATGCACAACCGCTGAGCGGTGCTACAAGCGAATACAGCATGCTCCAAACGGCACGAGGCGAGCAGTCGGGTCAGAAGCCGAATCTAAAGCACCAAGAACAAGCCAGGGTGAACGGCACATCTGTGCTGTTGAGAAAAGGCTCATTTGCGATCAGTTTGTGGTGATCCCTAAGGACACACCCACGTTGTTGGTGGTGCAATTACCCACGTTGTTGTTGGTGCAATCACATGTATGGGTGGATCGCCCACGCACCTACAATATGTGTATGGTGCGGACTGGCTGAAAGCGATGCTATTTGAGTAGCCGCACGTTGACTGCGTTATGCAGTTTATCCATGCCTTTTTGGCACTCGATTAAATCTTTTCAGAACCATGGTCAGAAATCCCAGTGCACGGAGTGGCCCCAAAGGATGACACCAGAGTGTTTGCATAAGAGATACTGCCAATACGTTCAGAAATGGGACGAGGGATGTTCGGAATGTGAGAATGCACCAGAATTTCCCCAGGACAACTCCATCGAGTGCTGCAAGAAGATAAAAAGGCAATAAGAGAGAATTTTCATGCCAATTCCCCACGTGCTGGACAAACACCAGTGGACATTCTGAGGGGGTATGTATAGTTATTCGGGTAATAAGATGGCACGCAGGGACGTGGGAACATGATTTGAACATCAACAGCAGGTAATAGGAAAGTTTGCCCCTACACATCAAAGCACGTATACCCAGCCCTGGATTACACAGCCCAGGTATCACGTTCAATAATTGTTGACAGTTCACGGAAGAGACAAAGTGAAAAATTCGAAAGTTGCAGGACAGAAAGTCTGAGCATACTGCAATTAGGCATGTGGAGCACATCAGTGCCGAGCAGCCAGGAAGCTAGGTGCACACACAGTAGCAAGAATGTTGCATGCACTGGAATCCAGTTGCGGACAACTCTATGCCAACCTCTACAGCATTGACAAGCACTGGTAGGCAGCTGCCTTTGGACACAAGCTCCATTGGCAACACGACTCTTGTTACAACTGCACTGAGTTCTTGGCAGGTGCAATCAGATTGCAAAGAAGATCCAACTTCCAAAACACCCCAGTTGACTAAACAATCCCAGAAACAATGCATATGTGCACGTATTTTGCAACGCGATGTTCATGACGCCTACCTCTAAAGCAGCCACGTCCCTATGGCGCCACACAGCCTTCTGTCTGGCACCTGCAACGCCCAGCACATCGACAACCACAGTGCGATGGGCCTCAAAAGGCCCCTTGCACCTCTACCCCAGCAATGCACTTATAACTCATCCTGCTGCCCATTCGACTGGCCAGACGCCCAGATCACCCCCACCAACGAGTCTGGCCGTGAAGCTGCAGCCAACATTTCACAACAGCATTGAATCCCCAAACCACGATTCAGTGTTTGAGACCCCCCAAACAAAATCCGGCAAAGACAGTCCACCTTGCCTGTCCGCCTGTTCCCCCCCGGCCCAACAACCAAGCCCTCGCCCTCTGCTGGCCCCACGCCATCCGATCCGACCCCCCTTTGCAGAACACCACCGCCGCACGCCCCCACATCCGCATCCTGACTCACCGTGCCTACTCCTCGCAGGCCTGCTTGTCCCTGTGCCTCTGCACAAAATATTCCAGCGTTCTGAACAGCATCCAGTCCAGGTCGTGGTGCGGCTCCCAGCCCAACACGTCCCTTGCTTTGCCAATGTCCGGCAGCCGCCTGTCGCTGTCCAGGTACCCCTTGGCCCACACCTCCCTCGAAGAGACGCTCACGAACTCCGGCGCCGGGGGGTCCCCATCCCGCCTGAAGTTCTGCTCGAAAATCTCGCAGACCCTCTCCGCCAGTTCCCGCATCCCGATCTCGTTGCCCGGGTGGCCCACGTTGAAGGTCCGGCCCAGCGTGCCCCGCCCCCTGCCCTCCACAATCTTGGCCACGCAGTCCACGGCGTCGTCCACGTCCACGAACGTCCGCCGCCACTCGCCGCCGTCCACCAGCCTCACCGGCCCCGCGCCGTGCAGCAGGGCGTCGATCACCTCGCACACGAACGCCACGGGCGGCCGATCGGCGCCATCCTCATGCCCGCCCTTCTCCGACGGCAGGTAGTCCAGCCGGGGACCCAGCACGTCGAACAGCCGCACGATGGTGTACTTGAGCCCGTCGCGCCGCCCGTGCGCGTGCAGAGCGCGCTCCAACATCTGGCACGCGCACGCCGGCGCCCACTGCGCCTCGTGTGTGGGGCCCAGCACCAGCGGCGATTCATCCTCCACAAATGGTGCCGAACCCAGTCGGGATGATTCGTCCTCTCCGTCGTCCAGCCCCGCGGCGCTGGCGGCACTCATGCCGTACACGTCGCTCGAGCTGAACTGCACGACCCACTTCCCGTGGCTCAGGCACAACTGCGCAAGCCGGCTGCTGGCGCCGTAGTCCACGGCCAGCGCCTCGAGGGCACCCCCTCGCGACGCGGCCAGATTCACCACCACGTCCGCCTCCTGGACCTCATCCTCCACCCTGTCCCCATCCTCCGCGCTGGCTATGTCCAGCCGGATGTATCGAAGGTTGGGGTGGTTCTCAAACTGCCGGATCTTTTCGGCGGCAACATCAATGACGGTCACCGTGTGCAGGCCGTCGTTCAGCAGGCGCTCGGTGAGGTTGGAGCCGATGAAGCCGGCCCCGCCGACCAGCAGGACGTTCATGTCTCCAACGGGCGCGCCCTGGCGCCCCAGGCGCGGGGCTCTGGCGGAAGGGGGTCGCCGTGGAAGCCACCCGGGATGACGGGGAGGATGTGTCTGTCGTGCCGCCTTTTGGGGGAGGGGCGGGGTGCGCCACTTGCGCGGGCCTGGCGACGCCTGACCTATTTTTAGTGGAAAGGAGTGTGCTGACGTGTGCCCTGAAACCCGCAGCCCAGGAGTGTTGAAAATGTGGACCGGGATGCAAGCAAAACGGGCCTGATTGCAACTCCAGGGAAGCTCCGTCACTGCGCTGGGAATCTTTCAGCGGATCTACAGAGAAGTTCGCGTTGCCGGCATCTTCACAAGCCAGTCTTCGAGGAGTCGACAGTGGTACACAGCTACTTGGCGTTTGAAGGGATCCCATTGGGGGTATTTCTTCGAATGGTTTCGCTGCAGGGGTCACTTTCTGGACGCCGACCAGAAGCAACACATTTCATGCCCAAGAATTCTGGAGTTCTCAAGCCGCTTGTGTCCGCTCTGTTCATCTGGTTCTGACGACGATATGCACGTTCTGTTCCATCGCTTTGTCTACACTTGTGCACGCCAAGGACACTCGAGGGTATTGAGTGATAGGAATGCAAAAGCAAGCTTTGATGCTGGCACTGCTGGCCTGCGAGCGAAGACACATCTTTCAATGTTCTTTCAATGGCAACGTCTTCTGGGAATTGCGAACCGGCGGGTTCTGCATTTCATTGGTGCAATAACTTGGAATTCATAAAACATGGATACTGCTTTACTCGGGCAAAATTGGGAGCCGGCGGCTTTATGCTTGCCTTCATCTGCAACGGTGATCAAATTGAATTGAAACCCGTTCGATTGGGGCTAGTGACAGTTTGGCAAAAGACACTCTGGCAAAAGAATCGGAAACTATCCGAAGTGACGAAAAGTGCCACCACCTCAATTCGTGATGGGGTTGACTGCAACGATGCGGTGCGAACTCAGGTCGCCAGCGTGGAGCCCCGTATGCCTGGCGCGAGCGAGGCGGCAGCGGCACGCAGGGCAAGGAACCGCGCTTCTCTTCGACGTGCGCAGCGTAGCAGCCATTTCGTGGCGCCTGGAATCGAGAACTGAAAGGCCGACCCGCGCGACCGAGCGGAATGGCATCCATTGCTCTTGGGGGTGTGCTGTTTTGGGCACGGGGGGAAGCGAGTGCTTGCTCATGCGAGGGCGCTCCGAGCCCCTCCGCTCGAAACATGGGCTTCACAGCCTGCGCTTGGCTAGCTTCGCTGGCTGTTCCATCACTTGGCGACAATGTTCTACTTGGCTGCAAATTGGCTGCGAATGCTTGTGCCCAAACGCGCCAGATCTTGGCGGACTTGGGCCCACGATCCTTGCCAACGTTTGCGCCCTGAAAGGCGCGTGCACTGAGCTCCACGAGTTGCCGACCGTTTGACTTTTGTCGCGCCTTTTGCGTGATGTGCCAATTCCTCGAACCATGGCCAACCAAGGTCTGGCCATGGCGCCAAGTTTATGGGCGTAATGCCTGGCAGCTGGGTGCCTTCTGCACGGATTCCAGCTGGAATCCGCCCACTTTCGTGTGTCTACAACGCCACCCATCCACCCCAACGCTTCCACAGCCGCCAGAGCGCCCCTTTGGCGCCGCCTTGGCCCAGCAACAAGTTCGCAGTTGGTTTTGGTGCCGGCCGCCACAGTCGCGCTTGGGCCCATCAGGCGGCTGCGACAAACGGCGGTGGTCGCACTTCTGCACCCCTCGATACGGCTACGGTTCTTTTGCCAGAATGTCTGTTGCCAAAGTGCCGTTCGATTGGTGTGCCGCACTCCGAAGGACAATGCTGGGTCATCTTCGCCATTCGAACCATCGTTTCAACAATAGCTACACAAATACACCAATCTCTGCGAGTGTTACACGTCCCTTGCGAGCCCGTCCTCCCCCCGCCCGCCCTCTCGCCGCGGAGCAACGGCTGCGCCCAGGCTCCCGCGCAGCAGCGGCGGCCTCCAGCCGAGGTTTCCACCGACCGCCGCTCTCGCGCCAGCCACTTCTCACACTGATCCCCAAACACCCCGGCGCGCGGCCAACATTCTCTCGATGCATGCCATACAAATGCACGCATATCAATCGATGCATGCCGCTCCTGCACACTTCGAGAGCCGTTGCCCCAACCAGCCAAACCGCCTCCCGGCCGGCCGCCCGCCGTCAGCGCCGGCCGTTGCCGCACAGCTGCGCCCGCAGCTCCTCCTTCTTGTTCTTGATCATCTGCTCCAGCACGTCCAGCGCACGCAGCTGGTCCTCCACCGTCATCACCAGCCCCCCCGCCGACGGCACGCCCAGCGCCACCATGAACTCGTCCACCGCCGCGGGGCTGATGCCCAGCGGGCGCCCGTTGCCCGAACCGCCCGCGCATCCCCCGCTGGGCCCCGCCAACAGCGGGCTGCCCCCATCCGACGTCCCAGCCTCAGACGCCGCACCGCGCTCCACACTCCCGGCGCACGGATCACCATTCTCCCGCTTGCAGCCATCCATATGCCCCGAGATTGACCCCGAGTCTCTTTCGGGCGCCTGTCGGCCGTACTGGCGCGCCAGGGCGTCGGCGTGGTCGCGCTGCAGGCAGTGCGGGTAGGCCTGCGCGGCTTCCATGCAGCAGTGCGGGCACCTGTAGTTGTCCGGCGCGACCTCCTCGTCCACCTCGTGCTCCTGCGGCGACTTGAGGCCCACGCACTCGTAGTGGTACCACCGGTCGCAGAATTCGCAGCCCAGCATGGGCCGGTTCTCGTCGTAGACCGTGGCGCACAGGCAGTAGGGCATCGACTTCTCGCGCAGACCCTCCAGCAGGGTGGCGTCCACGCGGCAGGGCACTGCCTCCGCCGCGGCGACGTGGTCGCGGATGCGGCGAAGCAGCTCCGAGTTGCGGTCGTCGATGGGCTGCCCGGAGCAGCGGCGCAGGTCGCCGTAAAGCGTTTGGGCGCGGTCCGTCCACTGGCGGCCCTGGGACACGGAGGCCTGTATGGACAGGAAGGTGGCGTCCTTGCTGGGGTCGATGTGCAGTGCGCAGCCCTCGCCCAGCAGGCGCTGCAGGGAGTCGATGGGCGGCCTGGAATGGGGCAGACGGGCCGGAGCGTTCAGTCCGGGGTCCACGGAATGACGAAAACGGTTGGGAGGCAGCGATGCAGGTTCACGCAGCGGAAACCACAGAAAGAAAAGGTTGTGGGCGTGGAGGGGCTGATTGGGCCCGCCGGGTGAGCACAGGTGCTGCTCGAACAGTCAATGCACCAGCACCGCACCACGCCTTGCCTGCAACGGGTGGGAGACAGAGGCACGACGCAGCACATTTCGTGCCTTCAATACGTTGTCCGCGCGCCAACAGGGCACATGCGCACTACAGGGGGTGCAGGTAGGCGCTCCTCCAGGCACAGGGGACTCACTTGAGCGAGTTCTTGACGGTCGCCGCGGCCTTCCGTCGCCACCGCTCGGACCTGAGCGCCTCGCTGACCCTCTCCAGCAGCCAGGATGCGTCCACCTCGACGTGCAGCACGCCCTTCAGGACGCTGCGTAGCACCGCCTCCGGCACCGCAGGGGCGTCGCCCGCCTGAAGCTTCCGCGCTTCGTCATTGCTGTCTAAAAGACCGAGAACCCGAGCCTGTGGAGAGCAAAAGGGTCAGCGAACCGCCCAGCGGGGAATCCCTGTTTGGCGGAGGCTCGCACATCCATTCACAATGGCCCAGAGACCATGAGCGCACAACCTCGAAATGGAAACACCCTGAACAACAGGCTCCATGATGCACGAAACGAGTGGTAGCATTCAGTGCAAGGGGGCCGCATTCACCTGCCAGGAATTGAAGAGAGTAACTATCTCTGAGAGCTGTTCCTCCTCTGGAATGCAAACCTCCAGGGCCCTGGCCCCCTGCAGCAACGCCTCAAGCTTCGTCAGGCTGGGTCTCCCCGTCTTCCGCAACTTCCCCGAGCACACAGCGAGGGCCTCCGGATGGCCCCTCGCCGCCTGGCACAATGGGCACACCCATTTCTTCGACTTGCTCTGTGCGACAGGAGCACCCACACACTTCGCGTGGAACCACTCCTTGCAGTCACTGCAGCTCAGTGCTGCCTCGTTTCCTCTGGACTGGAAGCAAAGGCAGTCGTCAGTTTGCCTTGGTGCGTCGTGCCCATTGCAGTCAGTTGTGCTGCCCATGTCGGTGCAGTCAACACGCCTGTGAACTGTGCGGACTGAGGATACCAAATGTCCGAAGACCTGCCCCATCTTGGAGCCCCCGCCTGGACGAGCAACGTCGCACTTCAGTTGGTCCATGAAGGCCTTGACATTATCTGCAAAGGAGCTGAGGCGCTCGCCAAGGCTGCCCGCAGAGACTGGGCTCTTCTGCAGCTCCTGAATCAAACCTTGAGCCTCACTCCAGGGAAGACGGGCCTTGTCCTGACGTAATATAACCTGTGAGAGCCACGCCATTTGTGTCAGCAGCCATCAATCGGACGGTTGCCAGGTATCCTGGGGTGGCATCAGGCCGTTTCATAAGACTCGCAGAACCGTTACCGTTCATTCTGTTGGGTTGGGAGCCAGAAAACATGTCCGTCCACAAGCTGTCTTCCCATGTCATTCCACAATTGAGCATACAATAGCCTAAGGGGGAATTGTCAACATACTGGCCATTCCTGGCAGAGTTGATCAGTGGAAACTGCAACAAAGGAAAATTTCAGTCCCCAATGCACATGCTGCAGGTCCTCACCTCCTTTGCACGTGTTTCCCAGCGCCTGTGCTTGTCAATGATCTCCTCAAGCTCAATAATGCCCTCAAGTCGGAAGGGGGACTTCAGAGCCTCCCCAAGCAAACTGAACACCTCATCCACTGTCTTCTTCGCAGCCACAAACCCATTGTGGCTGGGTGCCTGCAAGGCCTGCTTCATCTGGCTCTGAACATGCACTGCAGTCTGCAAAATCTGATCCACCTCCGATCTGATGCTCTCCGAGACGCCAACCTCCTCTGCAATGCGAAGCAGGGCAAAACCTGCCTCTGGCTCTGGCCGATCGGGCAGCGACACGCGCTGTCCAGCAGTCTGTGCTTGCACAGCATCCGAGAACATGGCCTTCAGGGCCGTGATTGGTGACGCGTGCTGCACATCAAGGGGCACCAGCTGGTCATTCCATCCACAGGGGATGTCTGCTGCCACATGATCAGCAAACACTCTTCCAATGAGAGCCTGAATTCGCATTCTGGCGTCCAGGGCCAGGACATCGTCCATTTCGTCCGTCTTGAAGTGCAAGCCACCAGCCTCACCACACAGCTCTCCCAGGGCAGGGCCACTGGGCTCCGTTGACCAGCCTTCAAGCACTGCCCTGGCTTTTCCACACCAAGCTGTGGTCTTGTCAAAACTGGTACGCAGTTCCTCAAGTTGAGGAATCTTTAACTTGAGACCTAGAGCATCTTCAAAGACCTTTGCAGCTTCCTCCAAGTGTGGGGGCGAGGTTGTCCCAATGCGCGATGCAATTTTCGCAGCACGCGATTTCAAGGCGTTACAGCTGGCCAATAAGGATGTCGTCCTCTGCATGGTCTCCATCCGCAAATGCAGCGCAGTGCCTGCCTTCACCAGTGCTTCCAGGTCTTCAAGCGATGGTTTGTCACCCTGCGCGGTCATGGACTGTCATTCTCAAGTCCCAACAAAAGCCTCCCTCTCCCACACTCGCCACCCCAAGCTAGGCAGCATGACAGCAGTCCAGCAACGTAAGACCACAACAGCAATACCAAGACCTACCATGTTCCACAACCCAATTCCAAGAGCTAAGACAACCACGAACACAAACGGCCTGCAGCTTCAACACAAGTGTAGAGTCGTACCTCATGGGTAGAGTCGTCATCTAGAGCCTTCATGAGTGCCGAAACCTGCTCATTCCACGCCATTGCCTTTGTCAGCCGGTTGGAAAGTGCTGCATACAGCTCAGAGTCTTCAGCGCCAAACGATATTGCCTCTGCCAAAATCTCCTGAAGTGATGCAATCGTCTGCCGGTTGTTCTGTGCACGCTTTGCAGATGCTTCCCACTCACGGCGGCGCAGCACCCCTCTGAGCTCTTCCACCTAACAGAAGCGTAGCAATCAATCCCACAGTCAAAGCACCACTGACCGCACAGATGTGTTGCAATCCGATGCAGATTTCAAACAGGTGGAGCACTACGACAGCACATGGCACAACCAAGCAGAAGTGTCCTGAACCACGCTAACACCCTGTAGCAGAGAGCCTCTTTCAAGCTCCCAGCATCGATCAAGGAAACAAATCAAAATGCGCTCAACAGCCAATTGAGACCACAAAATTCTTGGGCCCATCACTAACACCTACCTCCTTCATAACCACTCCAAGGCGCTCTCCACTGTGGAGAACCTCGCGCATCTTCTTCAATGAGTCCTGGCGTTTCACGCTCGCAGCAGCCAGTGCACTCCAGTCCTCAGCTTTTTTGATCAGCACTTGCAGCGTTCCCACCTCAGGGGTGTACGCCCTGAGCTCCATCGCCTCCTCAAGGAGCTCCCTCAGCTCAGGGAGTGGCACCGTCATCCCCAGCCTCTGTCTCACCTTGTCCTGCCACTTCTGTACAGCTTCCAGCAATTTCTGGACGCCCTGCAGTTCAGGCATCTCCACGCCAGCGTGAGACGCCCGCTGCTGCAGTCGCCTGAGATGGACAGCATCTGCACGGACACCACAGGAATCTGGGCCCATGTTCAGAATATTCTGCAGGGTGGACCGAACATCAAGGGCATTCTTCAGTCGTGTCTCCATCCCAGGGAGTTGAGGGAAGTCGACGTTCAGTGACTGCCCCTTTGTCACCAACACCTCCAGAGCATCCACGCTCATCACTTTGTCTCCTTGCTCTGCGCATCTCGCCACCCAATCCCGGCTGGCTTCATACAACGAGCGCAGGGCGCTCAGGTTGGAGAACCGAGCAGGGGGTGGCTGCCAGCTCACCACCTTTTCAAGGTCCTCTAGCTTGGCACGATGACCAGAGCACCTCTTCACAGTGGCCACCCAGTCCTTGGCGCTGAGCAGCTTTTCGCGCAGCTTCCTGGCGTCCCCAACCTCAGATCCAGCCCACAGAAACTGCTCAGAGTCGTTGAGCAGATTGTCAATCTCTGCAACCCGGGAGCCGCCATTTTTTATGACATTCTCTGCTCTCTGCTTCCATGCAGCCAGGAATCCCCGGAACGAGGCCATCGTTTCTGTGTTTGGGAGCATGGTGCCCTCCCTGCCCCGCTTCTTTCCTTTCCTGCCGTTGAATGTGAACTTGACAGTCACAGGCCTCTGAGGGGGCGATGCAGCGTCCACAACACCACCAGCGGCATCAACCTGGACTGGGTCATCAGGCGTGCCCACCCTGTTCATGGCGCCTACCACCTGTCCATCACTGGTGTCTTCCTTGGCTTCTATTTTGGTTTCTACCTTGGCTTCCTCTGGACCACAGGTATGGACTTCCTCTTCCTTGACGCGCACAGAGTCTGAGATCTCCTCCAACTGGAGGAGTGGATGTCTGTAGAGCAGGGTGTATTGTGAGACGTTGCACTCACAGAGCTGGGACATGTGGAGAAGGCATACATACCGCCCTGGGCACGATGCGCATGTGACCGCTGACAGATGGAGATACTGGCGGCAGATTGAACAGGTAGCATCCTCCTCGTCGCCCTCTTTCAGTCCAATAGCGGATTTGATCTTCACGAATTTGCGCAAACCTGTCATGCCACAGCCAGAGACAAGCTGAGCGGAATGACCACCGCAGGGCTGCTCTTCAACAAGCTGACCTGTCCATTTGACTCAGTTTGGATCTGGGAAGAAGCAACGCCCAGGAAGCACTGTGGTAAATTGCTGTTGCACAGTGCAGCCCCGCTGATAGCTGCACCTAAGGTTCGTAGTACGGACTCCAGACAGAATATCCAGAACAAATACAGAAGACAACACAAGGATGAAAGGTGGGCCAAGACAGCATTCGCTTACCGTTGGACCAATGGCGATGCCGCAGGAGTGCTTCACTGGAGACAACCCTGTTGATTTCACACTGCAGGAGGGGGGACGCCTTTGCACCCTGGAGCTCCTGAGCAGCCCGCAGCAGCAGCTCTTCATGGGCAACCACCTAGAACCACCGACCAAATGAAGCGCTATGGATGAAAAAGGTCGTTTTGACCACAGGCATGCAGCCAAATAGTAGAAAGAAAGCAGCCTCTTGTGCAGCAAATGCTGCTGTTACAGTGTGCTTTGACAAGTCTGCAAACAGCACAAGCACAACTGATACTGCCTTCTTCTGTCGTGGCTTGAACTGATGTTCGAGGATGAACTGAAGCCCTCTCAGCTTCAGCAAACTGGGCAATGGAGAGTGGTGGCTGATTGGAAGAATGTGTAATCTTGGCACAGCAGGGCCATGACTACACCCCTGGACACCCGCGGACACACCCTGTCCAACATTCGACGATGAGGGGACATGCTCCATCACTGCCAGCACATCAACGAAACCTTTTCTACTGAGGACAACCAAACTAGGGCAAAATGCTGGCACACACAGGCAACAATGCCTACTGGGGACCATAGCCAATCCACTACTTACCCCTTGCCGCCTGAAGCTCCTGTAACGGTCACAGGATGCCTTTCCAAAACGCAGCCAGTCCACCGGAGCGAAGTTCACCGCTTCTGCACAGTTCAAGCCCATGTTGAACCCGGCGTGGTACGCATTGGGGAAGGTCACAACGAACTCGCCTTCCTCCTGGATCGCCTCGTAGACAGGCACCCCGCAGTTGCGCAACACCTGTGGGTTCATCATGGTCACCAAATTGAACAGCAGATCGGGGCAGGCGTCAAACTGGTCGGCCAAGTGCGTCCTCATGGCCTCCTCCAGCTTTGCCGCCCCCCGCGATGGCACGCCATACCACCGCTTGGGCGCCCCCCAGTGGAGGTAGTTGATGCTGTAGAACATGTGATCTTCCACGTGCCAGCAGAAGGAGCTGAATTGCATGCCCACGTACATCCAGGGCACGACGACGCCGGGTATGTCGTCGGGTATGTGCTTCAAAAGGCTGTTCGGGTTTTTGGGGAGGTTGTTGAGATTCCAGGGGTGGGCGCCGTAGGTGTCCTGCCCCTTTGGGAACCCGCTGCCGTGGACCTTGGTGTCGATGTCCGCGCCGTAGAACACCTCCACCAAATCTTCACCCTTTTCCACGATGGTCCAAAACTCCTCCTCGAGCTTCTGCGGGGTTACCTGTTCGGGGATCGGCAGCGAACGCCTCACCTACTCGCCGGATCGAGATCGCACCAACACGCGCAGGATCCGGCCAGCACGGGTTTGCAATGCCGCTGGCAGCGCGGCGCCGACGGCTGCGCCAGCAGCTAGAAGCCGACCGGTCGCGGTCGATCGCGTCGAGCCAGAAGCGCTGCTGCCCAGTCCGCGGGACCAGAAGCGGCACGCCGTCGCCAACCTTACGCGGCTGGGGTTTGCTTCTGACCGCCGCCGCGCCCGCCAACACACGCACCGGGTGCCCCCATCGACCGAGACGCGGACGCACGGTCTTCGCAACGGGCGTGGCAATGGCGTGCCCATTTTAGACGCGAGGATCTCAACCTCGGCATCCCAGTGGGGAGGGGCGTCGCCCCGCCGTCCCGCACAATCATTTTCTCCCACCTCCCAGCTTCGCACCCCCACAGCGGCGGGCCCCCCACCCCCATCTCCCCCGCAGCATTTCCGCGGCCCCCCCTCCCGACGGCGCCGCTCACCCTCTGGGCGGCCTGCGCCCCGCCCCAGTAGTTCCTCTCGAAGGCCCTGGCCATTTCGGAAAACTCCGCCAGCGTCAGCTCCGGCCCATCCTTGAACGCACACCTCTCCGTCTTCTTGGCCAGGCACTTGGGGCAGAACCAATCGCCCTCGGGCACCCGTTCCAGGGGCGGCACCATGCAGAACAGGTGGTAGCCCCGGTCGCATTCGTCGCACAGCACGATCTGGTTCTCGTGGTGCCCACCCTCGCAGAGCTCACACAGCAGCGTGTGGATGTTGTCCGGCACCCGGATGGGCGCCAGGGGGGTGTCCAGAGCCGCGGACGGGCCGCCCACCTGCCACACACCACGCCAGGCACAGCCCATCGCTCAAATGGGATTCCATTCGCGCGCCGCAGCGGCCGGGGGGGATTGGGTTTCGGCTGCCGGCGCCGGGCGGCCGGCGGGCGGGGCGGCGGCGATCGGCGGGGGGTTGGGAGCGCGAGGAGCCCCCTTGCCCACCTCTGACACGTCCCCCTGGCCGAATTTTGACTTTTTGGCCTTGGGCTCCTGGAGCTGCTCCGCCGCAGCGCCCAGCACCAGCAGGGCGTCCACCGCCTCCTCGTCGCCGCTCGTGAGGCTAGCCCGCCGGGAGCTGGCCCTGGATGCGGCGCTCTCGGGCATCTGCAGCCCCTCCTGCCTGGCCATCTGGGCGGCCGCCTGGCACAGGTTGGCGATGGGGCCCTCGGAGTGGGGCGCCGGCCCCGGCCTGTGCGGCGGCGATGGCGTGCGGGGGGGCGTCGCCGCGGCGCCCCCATCAGCTGCCATGTGGCGCTCGAATTCCAGCAGGTGCTTCTGGTAGAGGTTGCGCAGGCTGTAGGAAGTGTTGCCGTTGCCCAGGTGCACCTGCAGGCCCCACATCCAATCCCCACCGCTGGGAGTCAGCGGCGGCAGGCCAGACAGACACCCATCCCCCTCCCGCCACAACGCCCGTGTGGGGCGTCCCCGGCCCATCCGCTGCCACTCACCTGCACCGCCCTGGCCACGTCCTTCCATTCCTTCTTGGCAGTCACCTTTTCGAAGCCCCCACGCAGGGACACCGCCTTGGAGAGCCGGTACAGGTCCACCTCCCGGCCACCGAGAATGGGGTTGCGCTGGTGCGGCCTGCCCAGCCCCTGCGCGAATTTCCTGTACTCCGCCCAGAAGGAGTCCGCCTCGCAGGCCTCCAGCCGCCTGCTCTGCAGCTGGTTGAGCACCTGCGCCCGCGTGCGGAACCTCACCCGCTTGGGGTCAAGGCAGAAGGGGGGCTTCCACCCCGGCGGGGGCACTATGCGGCAAATCCCGCAGGGCTCGGCCGCCTCCCGCACCCCGGCGATGAATGCCAGGGGGTCTGCGAACTCCTGCTCGGTGGGTCTGAAGACGGGCGCCTCCATGGCTCCAGCTTGCTGCCAACGCCACCCACCCACCCCGCCAAACCGGGGGTGGTCTCAGCGGGCGGGGGACCCCGGCCGGGGGCGGGGCACCCTGGGAGGCCGGGGCGGTAGGATCGTGGCTGCACTGCGTCCGGGGGGGGGTTTCTGCGCCCCGGCGGCCGCGGCGCGAGAAGAGCGGGGCGGTGGGGTGGGGGATGGGGCGCAACAGTCCAGATGGGTCTGCTGCCGCTTGCGCACAAAACATGGCTCGAGGCCGCCTCCCAAAGACGTCATCCCGGGCCAGTTTGCTGCCCAATTTTTGGAGATTGGGGTCAGCTCTGGGCGAGCGGCGAGGGCGGCAAGGGAGCGACATGTCTGATTGAGGGGCCTGCAGGATGGATCCCGAACCTGAACGGCAGAGTCTCTGCGCTGAGCGGCTTTGTTGTCAGGAGTCGGTGGCCAGATTCCAGTGGAACCGCTGGCCGCAATGCCCACTTGTGCTGAGGTTCCCTTTGCCCTCGCCGCAGCTTGTGCTCAATGCAGTGCGGGATGTCAACAGTGGGGAGTCCATGATCAGGACGACTTGTTATGAGAACCACATTCACGACATGAACTACGTACAGTTTGCAGACGTTCTCCTGGGGCTTTGGCCAATCTGCAATAGGGAGACATCGAGTGACACTTGTGACGGCCCTCTTCCCCCCCCTGAACGGGATGGCCGCTTGACAATGGCCTTTTCATATCCCACATATGTAGCCCCTGTCACTGGACTCAGACGCCATGTGTGTTGTTAGTCATTGTACAGTATTTGAGAACATGCAGCTGTGTGAAGAGGGTTGAATGGCATGAGACGTCCAGTGCATCCAATAAATGAGACACAAGCCAATGCGACCAGATGATGAATATTGCAGTCGCAGCTGTCACCTGTTGTTCCTGCGAATGTGACAAAACCCTTTTGCACACATATTGCCTTGCTGATGCCCATCTTGATAATGTACCATGCAGAGAGGACTGTGGCATGGCTACAAGTAAGCTTGAACTCAATTCCGGGAACGTTGGTCGTTCCAGAAAATCTATCAGTTAATTTTATGGCATCAGTTTGTACTGAACGTGGTGGAAGAGGCTAGGATCTAGCCTCTGGTGCATCAGGGAACCAAGTTTCCACAAATTCTCACTTGCAGCATACTGTGTATTGCTTCCTTTGAAAGGCAACCTTGTCAACATTTTGTTGCTTGCTGAACTGCAGGGTGGCGCGTGGAGCTCACACACCCATTCCCTGCACATTGAAATGCACATGCATCGCAACAGTGTTGGCCAGAACGCAATAATCGCGTCCATTCCATGGTCCAGGGATGTTTCACTCCCCTCATGCTCCAGGAGTGGGGAATTTCCTTTGGCATTTTGGCTGAAGCCTGGCATTTCAAGTTGTGTACTCTGTAAAACTGCAAAGCACAAAATACCTCAAATGTTAAAACACTTGTGTTTTCTGCTTTGGAAAGGGACAGTGGTAATTGCAGTCACGGCATCGCCATACGCTGTAGTGCTCATGCTCACGTTGTTTCAGCGTCCTTGGGACATTAAGCACCCATTTCTTGTTATTCTGCCTGAAAGATGCCAACCAATGCTATCAATCTCCCCATTTGGGATGCCGAATCTGGGCTTCTTCAAAACACCACAAGGTAGCAGGCCCACCCTGCTTTTTCACAGCTGTGCTTATCTCAGCAGCTGACCCGTCGGAGGCCATCGGGGGGAGCAGACATATTCGGGGTTACATCTTGAATTTTTCCCGCCCAGTGAGCATAAGGATGTTCCGGCACCTACTAGAGAAGTTGCTGGTTCACAAATGGACATAAGAGACATTCTCCGTGCAGCTGAGGGTATTAAACAACTGGACAGCAGAACATTTAATCCTGTTCCTGTGTGCCATTCTGCTTAATCAGTGCTTCTGGCCTGGCGATGCCCCAATACTGGGGAAATTGGCTCCTTGCCTTCTTTGACATAAACGGGGATAAGGGACAGAAACATCGGAAGGGGAGCAGCAGTGGAGCAGTCCCAGTCGGCGGGGTCACCTGGGCACCTTGGTCATCATGAAGTGTTTCAACACCCACAGCGACTGGAAGAGAAAGGTACGACAGTCCCAAGGGCGTGCTCCCAGACATGGACGAGGGCGAGTGCAAATGGCCCCGGAACGTGGTCAAGATCTTTCGACAATGACCTATACTGGGCATATATACGCGTGCAATGGCCGCAGGACGCCGAAGTATTTCCATCTCGGACCAAACACGCGGCTGAGCGTCGCCGCCTGAAGGCCAGCCCACAGCAGGGTCAGCAGTCAATCTTGGAGAACACCCTTTCCAAGGCCGCAGAAAACAACGCGCCTTCCAGTTTCTCGCCCGCAACGGACACCAGCCGGCGCATGCTCCTCGGGCAGAATACAGTTTGAAGACACTGAATACACTGAAGCGGCGGAGGTCGCCTCGAACCGCTTGGTCTGCCCCACAGCTGAACACCGCTGCGAGGGCAACCGCATGGATGCCGTTCCAGCGGGCACGCCGACGCCATAAGGGTGACCGTAAGCTGCGCGCCCGACTGCCGTCCCCGCATCTCAAAGCCACCACCAACCGCACCGAAGTGTGCAAAGCGCCGGGGTCCTTAGGCCCGGGCGACCCACGGTCGGTAAAACCCGTGCACCAGCGGTACATTGGGGCCAAAAATGGCATGCCGTCAGTCCTGACGAGGCACCGCCGCCACTTCACGCTATGCGGAGGCCAGTGCACACAAGGGTGGAGACGCGTTGGGCGCGGACGTCGCTTCCACCCCCGCGGCCCTCGCACGCGCCCTCCTTCCCCGGCCCTCCGGACGCGCAACCTGTTTGCAGCTCGCGATCGCGCCACCCCCCGATCGCCGTCGTCGTCAAGTGCCTGCGGAGGGGATCGCGGCGGCCAGGGCCATCGGCGACCCAACCGGGGGCGCTCTCGTTGTCCCGGCCCTTCGGCTTGGGTTCCACGTCGCCCGCCGCGGCGCTGCCTGGTCGCCCAGAGCGCCCGCTGTCGGTGGCGGCCCGCGTCGCCGAGTCATTCGTGGCATCGATGCCCACTCAGAGCCAGGTGGGCGAGGGAAAAGACGCGCGGAAGGGGAGCGTTCAGCAAACTTTCCCACCGCGCGTGACCGCTCCTGCGGCGGGGCCGACTTTGGGCGGGAGCAGGCTGGCGCTGATTGGCTGCATGTCGAGGATCTCCCAGGGCAGAAGGGACGCCTCGAAGTACCTTGCCGCGCCTTGTGGCCGGAGGCCGTCATCCGAGTGTGGGGCCATGAACGCGGTCGAGGGATCATGGCCAGATTTGAGGGCGCCTAGGAGTGCGGATCCCGCATACCGATCGCCGTATAGGGCGTTCGGTTGATGGTTTGGCTGCTGCGGCGGACACTCGCCGCTGGGCAGGTATTTGACAGCGGTCGCGGACGTCAGCGGTGGTCAGGGCCGGCAAGATTCCGAGCCGACCTCTCGGTCATCCGCGGGGATGCGATGAGCGCTTGTTACATGTTAGAAAACTGTGTGCGGGCGCCTACGGCTTTTGGTGCTCCATCTCACGGCGATGTGCTGGCACAGGTGCTGCTCTATGCCCCAAACGTTGTGGGTTACTTCCGTCTGGGCCTGCTCGTCGCGGGCGTGGGGGTGGCGTGTGTCTCCAGCAACTTTGAGCTGTGCTGGTGGCTGTTTTTTGTGAACTTTATACTGGACGGTGTGGATGGGGCGCTCGCCAGGCGGCTGAACCAGGTGGGCACTGGGCAGGCCAGCCGCCTCTGTCGATAGTTGTCAAGCACAATGTTGTGAACTGTGCGTTTGGATTATTGTGCATGGGCTGTTCCTGGCACAAGCGGCACAATTGCTATGACAGCCCCTAGAATAGAGAAAGTTGATAGCTATTTGGTAGCTGCCTGTGTCACATGGTGAACGTGCCACATGAGGTACTGGTTGCCTTCCTGAAAGGAGGGATCGAGGGACGAGCTCCCTTTGCTTTGGGGGCACTGTTTCCTGCAAGGGGAAGGATGCATCAGATTTGTGTGCTCCTAATGTTTTCGAAGCATCGACCGATACCAGAGTGCCCTGCCATAAGCTGCAAAGCAGGGTGTAATGCAAAACATGGCTGATCATTTCATGTTGCCCTCTGGATGCGCCAGACATCCAGTTTTGGCGCTTTCCTCGACGTCATTGTTGACAACGCCTCCAGAGGAGTACTATGGACCTGGGCTGTACCAGGGCCCTTTGGGGTCCTGCCACCCCTAATGGAGATGCTGACATTTGTTTGCACACACAAGGTGAGCAATCAATGTTGTCTTGAGGTGGGATCATCTAAATTTGTGTCATATCCAAAACTGTTTTCTGTGATGAGAAATGACCAGATTGCGTGTATGCAGCTGTGCCCATCTTGCTTTGAAGGTGCATGGACACTGCATTCCACATTTTGGCAAATGCAATCCAAAAGTTTGGTTGGATTCTCTTGTTCCAAGAAGGCAACTGCCACTGTGGGTGGAGCGCTGTAAGCCAGTCTGCATTAACACATGAAGCTGATCGACAATGGAACACTAGAAATGCTATATCTGTCTTTCAGCACGGAACATCTCCAGATTGGAGTGAGCATGGCCTGCTCGCTGCTGCCTTGTATTCAAGAGGCAAAGGAATAGCAGCCGTTGGTTCAAGCAGATGGGCTGTGCTAGATGATTTGCTCACACCTGGAAGTTTCCACAGGCGAGTGGTGCTCAGTGGAGGACAGGGTTTTTTGCAAACGCTCCTTGGTGGGTTCAGGTGGGTTGAGCCAAAATCGGCCTTGCATTTGGATCAAACTTGGTGCACAACTGGATCCAGCCAGACTGGGAACCGTGCCCTGGTCCCAGGTTTGTCTTTGTCAGCGTTGTGTATTATGGCCCTAATTGAAACACTGTGCCAGAATGCGGTATGTTGGTGCTGTGCATTCGCCTATTCTGCCTGTCCAAGAGGCAAAGGAAGCACTGAAGTCTTGTGTCCGTGATGTCAGAGTACCCATGTGTGCCCATGCGTACCCATGCAGACCCAGCCACTGCTTTTGGCATCTGGTCATGTACGTCACGCTTGCTCTCTTGTACATCATTTTTGCAGATGGTCATGAAGAATGGGTTTAAAACTCCACCAGGCATCGTGGCGGTGATTGGACTAATGGGATGTCCACTGTGGGTGTGGGCCTTGAAGTAAGTGAATCTCTGTCATGCCTCGTTCCTTTGCTAGAGCATTCCAGCAAAACAGTACTGGTGCCATGGAAATGTGTGTTTGCTACCAGGCATGGCTGCCACACGCTGCACATTGGTCTGTAGACACCAGCAAACTTTCAGTCTCGCTTCAGCAGATTATACCTGTCTAGATTCCCATGTTTTCAAGCTTACTCCATTTTTCTTACAACTCACTCGCAACTCCCCACCCCCCCACCCCCCCACCCGCCACACACACTCCTGCAACTTCATCCACACTCATTCAGCATCGCTGCCTGGCCCTGACTGACTTTTGTTCCTGAAGGCATCTGCCAAACACCGTGTACTCTTCCTTGTGGGTGGGGGCGGTGACCGTTGCGGGCCGCCTGCTGGCCTTCTCTGTGGAGCTGTGGGTACTGAAGCGCTACATGGCGATGCTCCTCAAGGAAGACTCCAGGTAGAATTGTAGGTAGAGAGCGACACACCGACCCGAACGAAGACGGAAGGAGTTCAAAGCGGGCTATGGCTTTTTGCTGATAATTTTCCCACAACACGTCGAACTCTGGCGCTTGTAAAATGTATCATAAGGTTTCAGGAAGCCTTAGCAGTGGGAACCCATCCAGGGTTCGCCTTCCATGCCGCCAACACATGGCCGCATCATTCGACTGGTCTCCTGTCCCATAACCTGCAGGTGAGTGTGAATGGAAACAAAGAATAGCAGAGCAATTGTGTACCTGTGGACATCTGCACGCAAAGCACAAGTCACCGTTTGCCTTTAGCATGTTTGCAGTGGCGTGGCTTGGCCCTTGCGCCAAATTGACGTTGTGTGTAACATTATTAAGGAATCAGCTTCACCTTTTAGCTGAAAGCACGGAGTGCTACAAGTCCACACTGTGAGTAGCGCGAGTCGCTAATGCACACACACCTTGCTCGCCACGAGCTGCGGTGATGGGGCGCGTGGACGCAGCAACGAATGAATCACAGCCCACGACAGCACACATGGAGTTTGCACTCCAACCTCTCTCAATTGGCCCCTAACTAAAGCAATACGTCAGTGCACACCTCCACACACCCTCGCACTGAAAGCGATGCTGACCAAACCCAGCCGCCCAGCAGGTTGGGCCCCTGAGGCATGGCAAAACACGAAGCAACGACATTCGTCTCACCAACACAGAGATGAGCCCCTGTGCCTCAGGCCTTATCTACAACAGCAGCAGCTCTCCAGACCAGGATCGGCCATGGCCCCCATGGGCACGCTGCACCCAAGTCGATGTGGCTTCAAGGGCCTGGCAAAATAACTAAGCGCCGCTAGTATGGGGCGCCGCCTCTGGCGACAGGGTTGCGAACAGCACTGTGAACGTGGCTTCTGGTGCAACGCCATTGAGCATCACGCGCGTTGTGTCACGGTGCTTCACCCCCGCGTCCTCCAACTCCACCAACACGACCTCGGTGACCTACCACAGCCATCGTGCACAACACACTTAGCCACTCCCCTGTCACCTCCTCTGCTGTGCACTTGCACTTGCACTGGGATAATCCCGTTGGCAAATGTGCGCTTCGTCTGGGAAATTCACAGGGAGCTGGCGGCTCCCTGGACCTATCCTTCTGGATCTGTCCCATCCTCTCTGGAGTGGCGATTGCATGCTTGGTTGCCGCCTTCAAGTCAAGGGTATATCTAGACACGGCGCAACCCACACCACCGCCACGATGCACACATACAATCACAAAGAAAGGTACTTCCGACAAGGACAACAATTCCCAGGTTTTCTCACAACGGCGCTGCTTAGTCGTAACCCACGCACGCCTCTGCAGCTTGTGCGTACTTTCCAGCCCCGAGGCTGCGACGATTCCCCGTCCTGGGTCAGAAACATTGCCCACCTGCGAGTAGGAGCCCATGCCCCCCACGACTGCATTCACGAACGCAGCTTGGAGAGGCGGCAATGTGGGGTTGTAGGCTGCGCTTTCGGCACTGCCTCCACTGTAGACACCGCCTGCTCGCGTCACAATACCCACACCCGCCGGACATCTGGTGTACGGTACGTAGCTCTGCACAGCGACGCACAGTGTTACTCTGAGGACTGAGCAATAGGTTGCATCGGAATTCAGGCAGATGGATGCTGCATTCCGTGGGCATCGGGGCCAGCACAACAGCTGTGCTTCATTTGGCATGTGCGCTTGAAGCAGCATCCGAAAGAAGCATCTACTCTTGCATAGCAAATAGCGGCGCCTTCCGTGAAGCGCTCCAACGCAAATGGACTGGTCCTTCGCCTGCACACATTCCTCACTGTGCCTTTCGCTGTTGGCAGACTTTGGGCCCTACAGCTTGTCCACAGCAAAGTGCAAATGCTCCAAGTGCTCACAGGGGTGTACCCGACGCAACCGCTTCACATGTTCATTCTCATGAACACAAGCGCCTGCCAGCCTGCGAACCTCAACACCATCTTTTACGGCACACCAAAGGGTCTTCAGCAAAACCCAGCAGAGGGATGCGCATTGCATGTCACCGCCTCTTTCTCAGTAAGTGCATCGACATGAAACACCAGGGAGCTAATTGCCATTGGGCGAGCGAATGTCACACTATCCCGCCCATTCTGCACCGTTGCTGGTTGCCTGCCCAACCACACGTTCAAACCCCTGTCGCTTGTCCACCCGTCTACCAACCTTCGATGCTGCCTCGACAGCCGCATGCGTAGCCTGCACAAACGCCCTGTCTCCATCACGGCGCTGCACTTCGCAGGTCGAAGCTGGTGTGAAGGCCATGGCGTGCTGCTGTGGTTGCATCAGCAGCGGGCCTGGTTCTTCGCCAAGCACGTCCTGTGGCTTGAATCGCATGGGCAGCAGGTCGGCCAGTGTGTATTCACTCTTCACATTGACACCCAGCAGGAATCGCAAACTGTCCTGTTGGAGCAAGACATGTGGTGATTGGCGGTGTTTCCCATGCAAGGACGCATTGTTCCATTTCCTTTCGGTGTTTACCCCATTGGGTGGCCAAGTAAACATTCAGCAAGCATGCACTGAGCACAGACACTACAGGCCACTCATGGTGCACTGAGCAGTTTGCCATGCAGTACTGTGCACCTTCTGCAGCAAGTTCCTGTCAACCTTGCTGCACAATGGATGAAGTCAGTGCGTGCTGAGATGGCGGGCCTCCTGGACTGCCATTGTGCAGTTACGTTGCATCACCTAACAAATGCCATCCACTGTCAGAGGATTGGTTGTCTGCTTGCCCCATTCGTTCTTCCCCAGGCTGATATTGCAGCCGCAGAACTCTGCGCTCAATGCACCAAAGCTGCAAGTGGTGGCTCACTAACAATACACTGACCGCACATGCGAGCTCTGCCATGAACTGCCTGCAGTGGCCGCAGGGCACCTCTGAGACCGCCACACGTGTCAGCTCCTGCTCCCCACCTTGTAGAGCATTGAGGACCAAGAATTGCTCCGCATGAACCTGCACGAGGCAACGTCGAGGGATAAGGCGATGCCATTTGATCCTCCGTGGTACGGCACTATGTTCCAAACAATGTACGGCTTGCAACACCCCCCGAACTAGAAAATTTGTGCATCGACAGCGAGTGCCACACAGTGACAAATGTTGTTCTCAGGGTCGAAATGGTAATGATAAGCGCCCAAACGTTGCCGAAAGGGGGCCTCACAAGGCTGCAAAATACAACCTTTTCCAAATCGAGGATGTTGAAGTGGCCCCAGCGGCACCACCGACAAGGAATACTGAAGCGTATTCAGCGTTTCCGCATTCGGAAATTTCATATCGCTTTTGAAGGATTTCTTGTTCCACATTGTCCTAAATCAATTTTATTTATCCACTGTCTCTTCCGCACTGCACCAGCCTTGGCGGGATCTGGAGAAGCAGGAACACCTATGTGCCGCATCTACAGCCATCACCAATCTTGTGAATGGCAATCGACTAAGAGGCCAAGTTCTTGTGGCTGGATAGTCGGAGATGCTCATTGTGCTATTGCGTATCATGGCTTCATTCTTTAGAGGTTCAATACCAAACTTCTGCAGAGCATTCCCCACTCTGTCGGCTTCTCACCAAGGTCACAGCTCCTGCATTCGTGAAGTCGGTGGGCTGACAGCACAGGGCAATTGTGGCATCTGTTTGCAACCATGTACATTTCGTGGCGATGTTGCCTTGGGCCCTTCTCTGTGTCATCGACCTCCCAAGAAGGTCGCCGCCCACCGCCACCCACCACTGTGCGGGCGTGGCCTCAATGGGTCGGTGCCAAACCACAGGGCGCCTTGGCGCTGCTAATACGTGCATCAAATCAATATGTTGTGGCCTTTTGTTTCATGGTTTTTCTCTTCCATATTCTCAGGAAGAGCACAGTTGGATTGCTTTCATGGTTCCTCACAAGAGGTCCGAGTGCCGTGTCGTTTGTGAAAATGCTAAATATGCCACAGCATAACTTGCATAAGATATACCCTCATCCATTTGTATCTGGTGTATTCAATGCTGCTGCCGCTCCTGTACTCCATAACTAGTCTCTACTGGAGCAAGATCACGTGAAGGCACGAGGTGACATCACACCAACCCACAATCAACTACCACTGCGAAAGTGTCCTCACCGAATTACTGAGCGGCAGGCCAGGGAATTCCAAGTTGACTCCAATGTACACCTTGCCACTCCCTGCAAGCCCAACAGCACTGCCGCAAAATCCCATCATGTACACATCAGGACCACATCATGCAATCAATTCCTGGTGCAAAGCACACAACCAAAGTGCTAACTGTATCCAGCATTTCATCGGTTTACAGTGGGGTAGCCAAAATTCTGCCTGTTACTGATTAAAGAGCAATCAAACAGGACTCTTATGCTGTGCCTGCGGCAAGAACAGCCACAGCACATATTATCAAAATAGATTCGCTCCTGCTGTCAAAAGTGCCCAAATCAAGACTCTACTTGTGGAAATTGAAATGCTTTTGATGACTAAGAATGCAGCACATGCAATTCGAATTCAATGCACTGTTCTTATTGATTGCTGCAAGCCACTTGCACAGATTGTCATCCTACACAGTGGAACGACATCCAGCAAAGCGATGAGACACTGCGTGTAGGGGTCGTGACTGGCAATGTATCTTTGAGCACAAGGGGCCGCCCCCTACCCAACATAGAAATGGGAGATGGGCGCCCTGGCCAGCCTTGACGCAGGCCCCACAAGTGACCTCAGTACTTGCTCCACTGGTAGACTGTGCTCACGTGCGAGCTTCTCAACCTCCAACTTTTCAAGGCGGAAAGTGCCTGCAGATATGCATGAGTCCATGATGGCCTCCAATGGTGTCGCTGAGGGAGTCGATTGCGCATTTTGCACTCCCAGAACTGTTGTGCTGCTGCACATGCACAACAGGGCCAATCATCCGTCGCCTGTTCACTTGCTGCTAAGTAGAAGGGAGGTGCAAGCCAACAATATGAGGACTCAAACTGCTGCGGCTGCTCTTTGGGTGGAGGGGTGGGGGTGGGGGGGGACTTGGAGGGAGGCAACATGCACTTGATAAGACGCCCCAAAGGAATGCACAAAGCATTCTGTTTGACACAATGCTCGATCAAGAAAAAGGAGGGCCTGGGGTAGCGCGCAGGCTGCTGTTCCAGAACGCAGAAGGGTTTCTGTGGATGACTGAACCATCCGATTCCATCTGTCGGTTGCACTTGCACGCACTGATGAGTGTGCTGCCATGATCACAAAATTCGAATATAACTGTGACCGAGCCTCGCTGGCACTATGCATCAGTTGCTCGACCATCAAGGGCACCACATCGGCGGTCGAAACGTTGCAGAGGCGAACAAAGCTGTTCGGAAACCAGTCAGAATGCAATACATCCAGGTTCAGTTATCCAAAGGTACGTCGCAGCACGTGGTGTCCAAGGTTGCAAGCCAGTTCAGGTACTCCAGACCGTTCGGGAGGCAGTCATACAGCAGCGAAGCACCATCAGCTGGAGCCGAGTGCCGCACCACAACCCACCCATAAAACGGTTCCATCTCCAGAGGCAAGGAATATATTGTGCTGGTGTCGCCAGGCCAATACCCAACTCTGATCGGCACTCGGAAGAGAATCAGCAGCACACAGCGGCAAGCAAGAGTGTTGGAGGCGTGCTCCTTGCGTCCCAGCAATTGGAACTCACGGGGCAAGGTCCTCAGGACGCACCTGACCGCTTCCGGGGCCGCCCCGGCCGGCTGCTCGGCCCCCATCTTCGACAGCGCCGTAGGGGCCGCAGTAGACAAGGATCGGCACGCCCTTGTGGCGCTTGCTCAAGCGTCACAGGCGTGCAACAGCGCAGCCTTGGAGTTCACAGAAAAATGCAGTTGCTGGGGGTTTGCAGCAAAACAGCAAAGAGCGTACTGGGTTTGGGAACCCTATGTGCCCGGCGCCCTTTATAATGGTGTTTCGGAACTTGTAAAGAATGTGCCCGTACCGAAAAGATGTACAGCAGCTTGACATGTGGCCTCATGGAACGCTTCAGACAGACGTATGAGAACAGCATAGGAAATTTTCCTGTCCAGGTATTCTCAAAATCCAGTGCAATTTGGTGATTTAAATTCGTTGATTATGTTTGTGGGGACAAAGGGACAAAGCCCTTACATGTGCAAGGCGACGTGGGGCATAACCTGCGAAATTGTCTGAAATTCGATGGCCGTGGACGCCGAAATCCCAATAAAATATGAGGCCATCGCTATTCGCAGCAGGGGATAAAATTCCCAGTAATAGCGAAACACTAAAACCTCCAATAAACAGATGAAATTTGTCGCATTTAAGAATTTAGCACAAAACATTGCACAGTTTTGCAAAATATCTCGATGACCTTTGAATGATGGGTCGTTTTGGCCTTTGACGTCTGCAGGAATTGTGAGCATTGTCGTACTATCTTCGTGTTCGATACGCTGGGATGGAGTGTCCCAGAGTCCAAGGGCCGCCCCAGGACGGCACCGCACGGGGATTTCGTGGGTCCCCCTTGGCTGCTCCTGTTTCACATTTACCACAAAGGCAATCGTGCAGCAGAACATGCTGCCCCATCAGAAATTTCACCGTTGGCATTTCAAGTGCCCATTATAATCGATCATTGTCGATGCTGGAGTGAATCCTGCATCTCTAATTAATTACTGTGTTAAAAAGTATATTGAGATGCTGAATGTGCTGCAGCACCGACAGTGTTTGGCCATTTTGACTGCACGGAATGCAAAAGTTGCATACAATCATACTATTGCATGCATGCTGGTGATCATGCAGCAAATCGGAGACTGTCCTGATTTAGTCGCGGACCTCGATGTCCAATTTAAATGGATGCAGATAGCATGCCTAGCAACAGCTCCAAATTTCCCGGTGTTGGATAATCCCACCTGACAACATGGACATACTTACATTCAAATCACCCATGCGATGCTACATTGAGATGGATGCCGTTGGAGTAATATTCAGTGTGGATCTAACGAGCGTTCAGTGACGAAGAATGTGAAAACTGTCAGCGCTTTATCCGTAACGCAGGTGATTCGGAGAGTGACTGCCACAATGTTGGTGCGCAGTTCGTTGAAACTGCTCCTCAAGGTTGAAATTTTGTCAACTGGCGGCTCTGCAATCTTTGGAAGTTCCAGTGCCAGCTCGATTGAAGGACCCCCTTCTTTTCGCCTCATACGACACGAAGCGTTCGTCCGCAAGCAAGTTGTGAATCTCTTGTGTCCATTTGCACACTTCCGGGGTTATTGCGGCGGCGGCGATGTAGGAAAACGAATTCTCAACCCGCTGGACTGAAGGCATGGCACAGGGGCAGATTTGCTTTGCAGAAACAAGTGCTGGCCAAGGGCGCATGTGCATTTCAGACGCATGAGCTACGTATTCGCTGTACCGTCAAGTGTGCTTTGCTTTTGGAACGCTGGTGATATTGACGGCTGAAGCCATCATTCAGCGCTTCCAGTACACCTCCCACCGTAAACACACCACTCGCCCGTGCAGCCCATGCAGGAGCATCAAGTTTTGGAAGTTCTAACTGTGTTTATACCCAGATTGCTAATCCTGACGGCTGTTAATTATGGCTATCGTAATGATAAATATAGACTATTGTTTTCAATTGCAATTGTAACAGACTTCGAGCGGAAAATGGGGAATGATGGGCGCTGGATGGGAGTGCTACAATCCCCCTTCGGCGTCGCCCGCCATCATCCCCGTTCTGCCACTGACACAGTGGCTGTGGGTCTGCAACATATCATCTACTCGACTTGTCCGGCTTCGTATTGGCCCAGAACGACGTTTAGTACGGTGTCGAAGCTGCTGTTTGGCCGCTGCAACAGTGCGTCCAAATCGCCCATGCGCTGTCTAGACACACTGAATCCCGACAGCCTGCTCCAATCCCTGGCTAAATCTCTGATTTGTTGCGTGAGGCCTGCCAGGCGCTGGGGTTGTCGTTTGTGCTCTTTCGTGATTTCTGAAGACCTTTCCAGCGTCTCCTTCAGCTCGGGCGACAGGTAGCTGACGTCCCCATCCTGCAGTTTCAATTCCTCCAGCGCCTCCAGCATGCGCAACTTCCTGTCGAAGTCGCGGCACTGCACGAATTTCGGCCACATGACATGCAAGCACCGTTCCACACTCTTGTCGTCGAGCGTGCTTTTCAGTGTCACCCGCTGGTTGTGGGCGGTGGCTTCCTGCATTATGCCCTCCCTGGCTATGGCCAGCGCCGTAACCGAGTCGCTCCTCAAACGGGCCTCCTTGGCTCTGTACTGGCAGGTGAGGGTGGTCCCAGTCACCGCGCTCCTGAAGTGCAGCGTCACGGAGTCATCCACAAGACGGGGAGGGACGTCCGACAGGCAGGCATCCAGCCAGGTGTGGAATTCGGAGAGGGAAAACTGGCCAGACACCGTCACCTCGCTCATGGGCACCTTGTCCTGAGGCTCTTGGGGGAGCCGCTCATGCAGGCACAGGGGCTTGATCCTGTGCTCTATGATCTGGGCGGTCTTGGGGGTCACATTGGGCAGCACGATCAATTGCAGCTTTCCTGCTTTGCCCTCCTGTGCCCTGAACTTGATTTCCAACCGGTGCGTGGCCTCCTGGCAGCGATAGGTGGCCAGCACCTTGTCGCCTGACTGACGGCTTGGGGTCGATCGGCTGAGGATGGCGATATTGCTGTCCGTGTCCAGGAGCTCGATGTCCACGTCGCACTGCACTGCAACGGCAAACAGGGAGGCCCCAACCTCCACAGTGAGAACGTGCGCCGCGTCCTCAAGGTCTATCCTGCACCTCTGGACGATGTCCACAGCCGGCAGGGCCAGCTCCCGGCTGCCTGCCTGAGCGCCCCGCTCAGCCTTCTCCTTCTTGTCCTGCAGCTGCTGCTGCAGGGCGCCCACCTCGCCCTTCAGGATGTCAATCTGGGCCCTGTAGCGCGTCTCCTCGTCATCCTGCTTTGCGGATTGCTGCCTCCTGAGGGCGAAGGACGCCTTGGGGGGAACCGCCTGGAATAGGCCCCCCTCTGGGCTGGAGTAGGCCAGCACCTTCCCCGAGAACGTCTGGACGACCACGTCCTGCGAGCTGGGGGACGTTATGTAGCCGCCCTCGATGGCGTGAATGGTCTCCGACACGTTGGTCTTGAACACCTGCTGCAGCTCCCCATCGTCGTCCAGGCCGTAAATCTCGACCTGCCCATCGTCCCTCCCCACCACTATGTCGCTGACGCCGTCCTTGGTGAAGTCGATGCCCGCGTAGACCGCCGTGATGCCCCCCAGCTTGGCGGCGTTGGGCAGGCAGAAACCCCTGGTCACACGGTCGGGCTCCAGGAACAGCTGCCCCAGCTGCCCGCTCTCCGTGCCGTACAGGACCTCCTTCCCGTCGGGGCACCGGTTCAGGGTGTCATGCGAGTCAAGCACGAACCGCAGGCAAATCGGCGCTCCCTCAACAGGAGTCTCATGCCGCACGGCGGACCCATCCAGCGTCCTGATCACGCGGTCCTGGCAGGCCAGCACGGGCGTGAGGTCCTGAGGCGACGCGATCGGCACCACCTCGGTGGCGTTGATCCTGTCGGCCGCCAGGTGGAAGTGCACCTCCCGCGCCTCCACGAAATGGCTGTGCGTGTACTCGCCCGAGATCCACATGCCCTGCTCGCACACCGCCAGCCCGCCGATCCGCTCCGTCATGTTGGTGGCGAACCTGAAGAACTCGCGTCCCTTCTTGTTCACGCCGCGCAGCGCCGGCCCCTCCGCCACGAACAGCTTGTCCCGCTGCTGCCTGCCACGACCCAGCGCCACGTGCGTGATGCGCTGCCTGGACGGCAGCGTCTTGAAGGACTGGGCCACCTCGCCGCGCTTGACAGAGAAGCACTGCAGCACGCCCGAGCCGTCGCCGACGGCCACCTTCTGCTGCTTGTTGCTGCCGGGGGGGAGCACGACCATCGTGCGAGGTGCGGTGGGCGCCGTTTGCAGCACGTCGTTGCGCAAGAGCTCCAGCTCCATGCCGATCGACCGCCTTCCTGGTCCGTCCTGAAGTGGGAAGTGGGAGGCAGGAAGTGGCAAGTGGCCGTTTCTACGGGCGTGGAGTCTGCTGAAAGCCTTTGCGAGTTGGGAGGTGCTCTGCGGTGGAGGGACACCATGAGCTTTGGGGGGCGCGGTGGACCCGGGGGACCAGATGCGATGCAGCCAATCTGGCGTTGGGTGCGTAACGCGAATGTGACTGTCACCAGTTAACCTACAGCGTTACATATGGCAGCAAGGCCGTGCCTGCCGTTGCTGTTTTTGTCCTGGGCGTGCCTGCTGCTGGCCTACTCATCTGGCGGCCGCTTCGGTGCCCCCGTCGCCACGCCCAACTGCAGCTCTGCGAGCGAGTCTGTGGTCCCTGGGATCGGCGGAGGGACATTTGGGAAAGCTCGTGCTGGCCCTGATCAACCAAGGAGCTGTTCCGTTGGTCACTTGGGGAAATTGGTTGGGAGATTGCAGCAGGCGCTCCTGGGAAAGCACGGCCAGGCACACGGCCATGATTTCGGAAGGGGAGCTTCCGGACAGGCTCAAAGCGCAGTTTGAATATGTGATTTGTGGTCCGGACATCAACTACCATGTAAGATTTCTTTGTCAGGGGTTCTGGCTGGCTCCAACCCGTGCTGCCCGCCAGCGCTCCGCCATTTCAGAGCTGAGAATCTTTCAAACCTCCACAACACTAAATTCCCGCTTGGATCATTGCCCATGTGACAATTGCCTGCCTCCATTGGGACTCCAGATGGGCTGCACTTGTTTGATGTCTATGAGCAGATATTGTGCATGCAAGCTTTGCATACCAAGTCACCTCTCAGGACATCCCTCTTACTTTTAATCCCTCTGTGCTGTCCCTCACATGCACAATGGTCAGTGTTTTGATCACAACTGTGAATAGTGGGCAAAGAATTGCACTACCAAGTCGATGGCCGATTTTCTACTCCACATTGACGATTGTTGAGGCCTTCAGCTCTGATTCTGCATAAAAAGCGATGTTTGGCACCACGGAGGGTGCAAGGGTAGTCCTCTCGGCTTCAACACATGCAACTGCAGCAGAATAATGCAGCTGGCCCACTGAGAACCAGCCAGGGCGAGAAATGTTGATGTGTTTCCTCCATTGTGTGATAAACAGTCTGAAATGGTTTCCATTTTGTGGTTTAGACTACATCGAGCTACTCTGCTGGGACATTTACTCCATCAGGAGTGGACTACACATGGAATTTCGATGCATTCAAACAGATTTTCAAGATCGACATAACACACAGAGATGATGACACCATTGAATTTGACATGTCGGGTATCAATGTAGCGGTGGTCAATGCATTCAGAAGGATCCTGATATCGGAGGTGCCAACGATGGCCATTGAACATGTGTTCTTTGTGAACAACACATCGATCATTGCGGTAAGCCTGAAAATGTCTAGGCCATTATAAAGAGTGCTGTATTTTCTTGTTGGAAATCTTCAGCAGTGCGTGAGATTGGCACAACCTGTTACATTGTTGCTCAATGCTCCATGTGTGCCAAAATTGGGCAGCAAAGCCACCATGGGTAGCTATTGATCTTCCTGCAAGAATTGGAGCTGTGCAGAGAAAGTCACTGGCAGAGCGCAAATCAGTGGAGTTTGAATGTTTTCGCTTCCATTCATTATAACATAGTGTGATTGTGCTGGGTACTGTTGTGCTTACTGTGCAGATGCCATAGGCAGCACATTGATGCCCACATTTTTCTTTGCTATTGTTCAGGATGAAGTGTTTGCACATCGCCTGGGACTTGTACCCCTCAAAGTGGATCCACGACTCTTCCAGTTGAAAGCAGGTTGGTCGTTGTGTGAACACTGTGGCTACATGTACTCAGCTGAATAAAGCAAGTCCAGGCACTGGGATGCGATGAAGATTCTGTTGTTGCAGAATGTCACTATTTGCCCAGTGACTGTTGAGCAGCATCTATCGCGGTGGATGTGTCATCTGTGCAGATCTATTGATCCACTGCTTTCTTTGAGGGCACCTTCCAATTCTAGAGTGCCACTGGCAGGCATTTCTCTCCTGTGCAGCTTGTGAGGCGCATTGTACTTCTAAACTACTGCAGTGCATGTGTGGTTTCTCAACTCTTGTTGCCTTGTTTGAGTTTCTTTGCAAGCAACACTCCTATTGCATTTCTGATTTCCGGTTTGTGCAGTGTAGAAGATGATGCTCCGAACGAAACGAACACAATAGTTTTCAAGCTCAGTGCCAAATGCACCGCAGAAAAATCTGTTGGTGTTTCTGGTGACAAAGGTGAGCTGTGCACATTGGCACTTGTAGGCAGCGTGCCTGCTATCATTTGGAGAAACACTTAATCTCAACTGCTGGTTAGACTCTCCTCTTCAAGTTGTGTTGCACGGCGAGGGCACCTGGAAGACCAATCATAAAATTTGTGGCATGGACATTGGCAGTCTCGCCAATTTAGATAGCCAACTGCATGAAGGTTAGCAATTCTGACAATATCTAGTACTAGTGTATTCCTGCTCCTGAAAATGTAGGCTCTTGGTATTTGGTTTTGTTCTTTTCTAGGTATACCCACTACTGAAAAGCTGCAGTTTTAGCAAAACAGAAACTACAGTGCCAATTGAATGCCAACTACCCCATAGCTGGTGCATCCACAACACAGTCTCCTGCAGCTGTATGTGATACCAAATGGCGGTGTGGGGACATTGACTGACCATTGATTGGATGATCTGTCCCTGCCAGGGCCTGCATGTGCAATGGCTTTGTTTTTTGTTTGTTTGGAACAACTGGAATGCTCTGAATTGACGCAACTGTTCATGTCTCATCTGCATGCAGTTGTTTCTGGGGATTTGCAGTGGCTGGTGGGAGGCAGCGAGATGCCCGATGAGACAGCTTGTCGTTTCAGCGTGGGGCAGCAGGAGCTGCTGGAAGGCCAGCGCATTGATGTGGTGCACAAGGACATCTTGCTTGCGAAGATGAGGCCTGGGCAGGTGTGCCTTGCTTGAGGACTGTTTCCCTTTCTGTGCTGATCCTTTCCCTGGTGGGCAAACGGGCAGTAACTTGGCGTGTTTCGATTGATATGGTCATATATTGTTGTGCGATGTCACTATTTCAATGGGCTGCAATGGCCATGGGATGATGTCATATAAGTGAGTACCAATGGCGCCCAGGCTTGGCTGAGTTTCAAGATGATTGAAAGGAAGGCTGACTGTTGCAACCATTGTTACTGATTCTCAAAATTTGTGGCATTGAGTTATCTGTGTATCTATGTCCATATTGCAACAGCACCCGCTACTAAAATAGCCTCAACGCTGAAAAAGACCTGATCTGGTGTTCGCTGCAGTGTGTATGATCATGTGAAAACACACAATTTCTACGATTATGCTCTGTGATGCGGATATTGTCAAGTGCAGCACAGTGATCTTTCTAACTGTGCACTAATGCCATGCAGGAAATTCTACTCGAGGCCCATGCCATCAAAGGAGTTGGTCGTGAGCATGCAAAATGGTCGCCTGTTGCAACTGCATGGTATCGACTGCACCCCGAAGTCATTCTCTTGAAGGTGGGTTCTGCCAATCAACTTTGCTAATGGTAACTTCATTGTGGGAGGCACATATTTGTGCACGTGAACAATCTGGGATCCTACAGCGGCATGGATGACGATTGGCTTTGTTGCCCTGGATTGTGTTTGGGAGCGTCGATTGTTGTGCAGATGAAATCGAAACAGATTTAGCCTTGATGTTGGGGAGAGAGGGCTGACACCCAGCATATGTTTCTGGTACATGGTCACTTCCTTTTGCCAGAAAAATATTTTGGCTGACATTTCCTAACATTTCCTACAGGTGCAAGGCAGTTGCTTTGTCATTTTCACCAACGTTATCTAAGTGAACGATTCTGAACAAGTGCATTCTTAATTACCCAGGCATGCAGCGATTATCTGTGGAACCTCCAATATTGGTTCAACCTCCATTAATGCCTCAACAGGCGCAATCGTACCCACAGCAGAAACTGGAAAGGTGGCCTGGGAACAACACCCAACTGCCATTGTTGTTGATTGCAGGACAACGAGGTTCTAAGCAATATGTCACTACCTCTGCATCCCATGCGTGGATGTCTCCAATATGCCCACAGCTTTCGATGCCTGGCCTGAAATTGATTTAGCACTGCCTGGTAAACTGCTGCTGCCGTCATGGTGTTGTTGTATCATGGGGAATTGCAGATGACCAAATGCAAGAACACGCACGCAATAACGCTTTTGAGCTCATGGACGTTGCAGAATGCATGCTGCCGTCCTGAAACTTTTGTGTTTGCTTTATGCAGGAAGTTGAGGGTGCCTTGGCAGGCAAACTAGTTCAGGAGCTGCCTGGTTTGATCGTGTCAGAAGAGCACATGGGAAAGCAGGTAGCCAAGGTGACGTCTGCAAGAGAGCATGAAGGCCTTCTGGAGAAGGTGTGATGGGGTTTGTGTCCTGGACGAATGCCCCCGTTTGCTGGACAGCCTGCGGAATGTTTTCAATTGCATGTTTTTAAGCAACGGAGGCATATGGTCAACTTCCGATCGCTTGTGTTCAGGTGCCAGGACTCTGCAGTGCCATGTGGCCTAAACCAGCTCGAAATTTAGGAAACGCCTTTTCATAACAACATCAGTTTGTGCCTGTTGCCCAACAGGGCCGGGGTGGTCGTCACAGCGGAAGTTTGTAGCTCTTCCAGGTGTTGTGCTGGGACTGCCTTCCATGCTTTTTGATACCATTGACCTTCACCAAGTGTGCCAAGCACACTGGAGTTGGCTTGGTTAAACTGCAACAGCGTGCACCTGGAAGTTCGGGTTCCACGGCTGTTTTGCAGCCGTGGGTTGAGTGGTGATTCTCTCTGGACATCAAATATTTTGACAAAATACGTCTATCTGCGCGCACGCTGTGCACATTTCCTGTCGCATCTCACAGGTTGTTCTTTGCACAGGTTCGGCGACTGAGCGGTGAGGATGAGTGGAAGGACAAACTCCAGCTCCGAAAACGAAAAGACCGCTTCATATTCACAATTGAGTCAGTGGGCATATACAAAGCAGAGGAGCTGTTCATGGAGGCGATCGACATCCTTGTGCAGAAATGCGACAACCTGCTTGCATCCTTATGACGCACTTGGGCTATCCCTCAGCCAGCAGAAGCGTTGTGACCAGGAGCTGTTAAAGTCTTTGAGGGTGTCAATTCTTTGCGGGAACCAAACCAGACATTGGACACCCAACCAGGAAGTCACAGTGTGAGCGAAGCAACCAGGGGGTATGGGCATCCATCAGCATGTGTTTCGCTTCATCAGACTCAGGATCCGGTATGACGAAGAAGGGAACCACGTCATACAATGCGCGCCCCTCTCCTGAGCTGAAAGTTAATGAGACAGGCAGGATGAAGTGTCTCGTGTTGATGCCAGGTTGAACTCGTATCAAGACATTGGTAGCGGGTAATTCGCAGCTTGACAACATTTTGTTGCACAGTCAGGAAGCTGTTCAAAGCTCAGCAAACAGCATAATCCCATCGGAGCAGAACAGCGTTCGAAGATTAATAAGAAGGAGAACTCTTTTGGCGTGAGTGTAATGTCAATATCTGTTCCGGCAGATCTCTTTGCTTGCTGAGTGATGGTATGTAGGCGAACACACATTGCATTGATTCTCAGGGAGAAGCTCCTGCTTCACCAAGGTGCTCGAGGCTCTTTTCCATACGAGGTGATGCAGAAGTATCCTAGTGCAGGAGGGAATGCACAAGTTGTCGAGTAGTACGAGCAACAACAATACTTGTGCTCAATGCAATCGGCTCAGAATGCGTTTGTCACAACGCGACGAAGCGCGGCAGATTTTAATCCACCGCAGGACTTTGTTGGGAATGGATCACAGCCCCTAAGCAATACACCACACTTTGTACTCTTGCTCGGCAGGGTCTGCACGGCTACTACCGTAAACTATTCAACGCTTCCCCACAGCAACGTGAAGATTGGCCTTTTTGCCGAGGAAAATTAATAACCAGTAACGCAACGCAAGGCCTTTATCTCTGCGCCTGTCCGTGCTCCTGCACGTAGTCACCAGACCGAGCTGGGCGCGCATCCTGCACGGTGTGGCTATCATCTCCTTTCCACATGCAGAATTCCTCACCAGGATCTGATAGTTTCTGTCCTTTCCTCTTCTGTTCGAATCCGAAATTACTTTGGGCCCTGCTGACACCAACAGGAACAAAAACTTGTGCTTGCACCCATCGCTGGACGATGCCTGAGAAAGTGGAAGCAAGTGATTTGTCGTATGTTGGTAAATCCAATCAGTGCGGATTTCCAGCCTCCGCGCAAATGTGAATTCACATTTGCGCGGAGGCTGGATATCCGCACTGATTGGAATCGGTTCGAACCGGTTCGATGTGTGATATGTCCTGATGGCTTTGGAAGCGTTAAAATTCGCTTGAGTCCGTCGCCCTATTCTAACCAATCTGTTGGCGCAAAGGCAATAATGGCATCCGATGACTCCCTTGTCTTGTGACGCTGACGTGTAAACTAAAGCTCTGAGCGTTAGAGAAATTTTATTAGATTTGATAGCACTGAAAAAATACTGAGCTCAAAAGTGTCGTGGCAGTTTGTGATTCTGATATTTGGGGGACAAGGGGGCCGTCAGTCGTTGAGTACGAGCACACCCGCGCTACTCAATCGATGGGAAACGACCGTACCTGAAGTATTGGATAAGGGCGGTGCCCCTGGCATGGGCAAGGGAACGAAGAACTTCAAACCCACCGTTAATAGGGACATATTAATGTGCCAAAGAAGGCATATTCCCCGCAAGTGCTCATTTACGCCCAGGCGATTTGATACTGGAGGGTTGAATACGCTTTCCGCACGGCGCTAATGTACTCCAAGGAATGGTTTAGCTGGGGAGTTTATCGCCCAGGTTCTTCCCGATTTCACCTTTTGGTGGCAACCTCTGCCAAACATCCCGGGGTTGGCGTTGGGTTGACGTAGACATTTCGGCCCGAGCATGGGACAGCGGGAGTGTAGCCGGTAACGGAGGCCCGTTGATCCTGTGCGCTGCCCATGTGGCGCGGGCACTTGGGTGTTTGTTCTGGCTGATGACCTTCTTTCCAGGGTTGTGTTCTGTAGAAGAGGGCAGCGGGGAGATGGAGCCATGCAGCAATTTCAAAACGTTTAATTGCGACATACGTCACAAGCTGTCACTACTGCTGGTCACATTGGTCTCAAGAGCTGCCGCGCCACGGCTCAAGCGAGATGGCAAAGTTGTCGCGGGCTCCGATCCCCGTGCAATATCTGGTGACTCGATGCTCTTGGGAATTTCTCAATTGATGAGCTTCCCAGACGAAGATCACCCAAGCACCGCAAGTCGGAGGCTTGCTACCATACTATGCTTGGTCCTTGCACATTCGTTCCCTTTCGAGGGCATACTTTTCGGCAACTGTGCCAATAAGCGTAGGCGATTGTTTTCTCTCTCAAGTGCCTCTGGGTGGATTGGAGGAGTAGAAGAACAGGCTGCGCGGCTTTACCACGTGGTCCAAAAGGCCCTCAATTGGCTGCATCGGATGTCGTTGAGCCCCGGCTTGCGGGTGTCGGCCAGCCATGGGAGCGGGAGGGGATGTAGCTGGTTTCGAGGCGACGACACGTGCGCATTTTTGCCCCTTCCTGTGCTGCCGATTTCCCACACAACTACCCGCTCTTTGAATGCCTGTGAGGCGATGGGACCCGTAGCACTGCATTTGTGGCTGCCCAGGAGCGGCTGCCTCAGCATGCACATCGAGTCCTTGTGATTAGGGAGCGCAAAAGTGGCGTCGGGAGAGAGAGAGAGTCTCCAACGCTGGCATTTCGACTCAACCCGGAGAGTGCATGTTGCCTCCGTGGTGTCGTTTCGATTTTTACCCCCGACTGGCGTCGGGAGCATTCCCCATTCACATCGAGGTTTGGCATTGCGGCGACAAGCCAGCATCCGATCTTTTTGTGTGCCTTTGGATTCACAGCAGCCCTTCGCATCCTACGTCAAATGCGTTCCATGCCATGGCTCACGCACAGTCGTTCTGGAGGAGGGCTTGAGCTCCAGAGATTCCATCGTCTCCCGCTCAACCAGTCTTGTCCGACGTTTCTCACAGGAACATCGCCTATACCTTTTCATCGCTTGGAAAAGAAGGGGTAGAAGGAACTTAGCACGATAGACGGTTTTGGGGAGGGAAAATTGTTCCTAAACTGGGCAAAAAACCATACTTTTAGGGTGGAGTTCATACCCCCAGTTAAAGGGCAACCAGGGCGTGCATGTTAGCAGGGCAGCCATCGACGCTCCATGGTTTCCGCGGTGAAGGGCACTTTCCTGGAGTGGTGAGCGCCCCAGCCCCCGCCCCCCCCTGGGGACTTGAGCAAGTCAGTCCGCGGAGCCTGAGGCCAGCACAGCTTGGCCCGCTGGGCTGTCACCGTGGACCCTGCGTGCCTGAGCTCACACGCACGCGTGTCCTGATTGCAGCGACGTGCCAACCAAGGAGTTCATCTTGAACCTCAACGAGCACAGGCGGTGAGCTTTCAGCGTTCGAATCCGTGGGCACGCGGTCGCCGCCTCGGTGTCCTTCCCTTGTGGTTGAGTTGTGTGGGCGCTGTCGAACCCAGAGGGAAATAGTCGGTGATTTCCGGTATGTGTACGGCACCAGAGAGTTGCTGTGACTGTCACTCTAGGCTAATGGAGTTTAGGGTGGAGGGGTTTGTGTTGGAAAATGTCGTTCGTTGATCCCCGCCTTCACAAGTGTAGCTGGGAACCATTCATTTGTAACACGAGGGAATACGAAAGTCAACTCTTTCGTCGCCATTTGGTGTGGACATACAATAAATTCGTTGCAAGGCAACGAAGATGTTCGGATTGACTTTGTCATGGAATCTGGCAAGGGCTGTAGGGTGTGCATTTCAACACAGGCATACCTGCAATCACCCACAAACCCATGAATTGTTGCAATTTCACTCCAGCTGCATGAAGCAATGCAATTCAGGGATTTTGATGCATATCTGCAGTTCTGAAAAAATGGTGCGTGGTCAAGGCCAGAAATTGTATCTGCTGGAAATCAGATGCAGATTGGAGCACATTTTATACTATTCCTGAGTGCAATTTTGAAAGCTGTTTCATGTGCTGTACAGAATAATGCAGAGGTTTGATGCTTGTGCGTGTTGTGGCTGTGGAAGACATAATGTCTTGTTTAGGCACCTGTGAACTGATAGCTGGACAAAAGCTGCGTGATCCTCTGACCAGCAAGTTATGATGGGGCATCTGACGCAGTTTTCCCAGCAATCAGCCCTACATCAACTAAATGGGCAGTACGGTTCCATGCGATTTGCTTGCGCTCGGACACATTTTCAGGGAGGCAGCCCCTGTTGGGGCAGTGGCAACAGAATTCAGCACAACGTTGTGTTATCTCAAATCGTTGCATGGCACAGTTCGCTGGGAAGTGATGACCTCCCTGGCACCTCTTGGGCAATATGGGAACTGTTTGCCTCCTCAGTCGTTTCCTCCCAAGGACATCTTGCTCCAATTCACAGCCATACCCCTCCAGATCAGTGCACCATTGCTCCCAATGTTGCGACATTCAGTTTGGGCATGCTCATGGATCACTTGAGTCCTGCCATTTTGTTAAATCAGGAACTGCACTGTGCACACAAGTTTCATTCTTCCCCAATGCTCACATTGTTTGTGCCTGGCTGCCCAGAGAAAAATTTGTGATTCACGATCTAGACGACACTCACCTTTTCATCCACAGCTCAGTCGTGCCTTGGGTACTAGAGCAGTTGAGAAAGTTCCAGGACGAGAACACATATCAACCACCAAGGAAGGAGGGCAACTAATATGGGCAGTGTGGCTAAGGTACCCATATCCCACCCCTCAGGCATTGCTGTCAGTTCCACAGGAAATTGTCTGATTGGAGATTGCGTATGTGCCATTGCCTGTGTCTGCTGTGCGATCATGTCCTTGACAGCAAGGTTGTGCATGTTCCCATGGAATGGTGTCCCTCATAGCACACATGACCAGTAATGGAGGGAGTGTGGAAGACTGGACTGTTGCATGTGTATTTGCAACTGATACTGCCTCACAAGCTGCCTCATGGCCACTTTGAGATAATCAGCAATGGGTGCATTGCTGTACGGTTATGGCCATAGACTGTTCCAACACTACTACTATGTTTTGTGTGAAGCAGTTCCTCCCAGCTATGAATTTGAAGGTCTCAACGAAAGTGTGGTGATCTTGTCCAGCTGTCCTGTTGACTGTCGGGGTTTCAGGGCAGAGATCTCAGGGCTGTAAGCTAGTGACAGTTGGGCATCCTTTTGATTCATTATGGGCGAGGAAGTGAAGGAGGGTGGTGCAACTGTGAGAGATCTCTTGTTGAGATTCTGCAAAGTGCAGCAGCAACGAGTGACGCAGTATAACAGGCTGCACGAAGGTTTTAGAAGGTACCTACAGTCTCGGGAAGAGTCACAGTTCATTCAGTGCCTGAGCGACTCCACAAAGGCCTTTTCGGAAATCTCTGCTGCTGTCATCGCCATTGAAGCCACACTGCGGAAGGAATCCCATGCCCACGATGTTGCAGACATCCTCAGAAGGGTACAGGAAGGGGAGAGGGACAAACTGCGACTCACATTGTCACTGCAGGCTCTTAAAAGGGTGCATGCATTCAGGGGCTTCAGCTGGCAGAGGGATAATGAGGGGAACGAAGTCGATCATGAATGCGGTGTGCATGGCACAGACATCACGGAGAGAATGGGGTCCCTCAATCTGATGGGGTCAGTGAGTGTCTCTGGAGTGGGCCCCGGGGGCAACTCGGAGCCCAGCGAGCAGGAGTACAAGATGGCAGTGGGCGAGGCGACGCAGCATCTTGAGAAGGCTGTCATTCGAATAAACGACGAGTTGGAGGAAATCCGATACATGATCGCGGACCTTGAGGGGGAGTGATGCATTTGCGAAGCTTACTCTGCAATTTTCTGAGCCCTTTTTCGACGATCTTGGGTGCCGAAATCATGCTTCTTGCACAGTGTGGGCACCTGCATAGTGCCATAATGCGCACACACAACCCTATCCATGGGTTTCAATGCAAAGCGGAAGGGGATCTGGCGACGTGCCGTCGCTACGGAATGTCCATCGGCGATCGCCATTGTTCGCTCCTCCCCATATTTGATGGATATCTCATTTCGCACAATGCCGGACTTGTGCTTTAGATGTAAACAAAGCAGTGTCAGTGATGTGAAACAGCACGAAGGCAGTTTGGGTCTGTTTTTGAATTTTGTCGATTGCAGTGCAATCACGCAGTTCTCACCTCCCACCACCACCACCCCGCACGCCAATGTTGAAGCTGAGTATGCCAGAATCGGCTCCATGTCTCCCCTTAAGGAACATATTTCGATCTGACTTGGTGACATTGGTGAAGCAAATTCTGTACTTACGACCTCAAATGCTGAATACGAATTAGGCCAGCAGAGGTTGCAAATGGTATGAGACTATCTGGCCATCACACAGAAGGCAAGCCTTTGTACAGAATTGGGTGTTGGAGGGAGGCAGGCACGATCTGCAAGCTCGCAAAGGGGAAGCCTGCTGGCGTCCTTGGAGCGCCCTCGCATTTCGTAACCAGTTGCTCAATGTAACGCCGCTCATCAGGCACACCAGCGCAACATGGAGACAGCAGAAAGCTTCCATGCGCACAAAAAGACTGCACGCTCGACGCCCAGGAAAGCATCCCCAGTGCGCGCAGTTTGCAGCCCCTGGCACCGCTCCCCAACCTTCCAAGCCTACCTCAGCTTCTCGTACACGCACACTCGCGCCCGTGAGCGGCGCCCAACATCGCTTGCCAATCGCTAGGGCCGCGCCTTGCCACATTTTGATCCATGCAATCAAACACAAAACACGCGCCCATACCCATTGAGACACAAACAAAACATTTGCTTGGAATTAAGCCCAGCATCGCCTATGCGGTGCCAGAGCTGTTTTTTGTCAAGTTTTACGACAAATGGAATTCAAGGTTTTGAGCCCCCATTCCCTTTCCATCCCCTCCGTCCCTTGGGGCCTGGAGTCCCTTGACGCCTAATCGGAGTCGTCTTCCTGCTCCCGGCCCTCCCGGAAGCCCCTCTGGCAGGTGGCGCACACCATGGAGGAGCTGGGGTAGACGTAGAAGATGCGGCCCGCCAGTGGGTTGAAGCACACCGCGCAGCGGCTCTCGTCCGTCACCACCGCCCGCCCCTTGATCGTCGACTGCAGCTCGTACTTCTCCGCCCTGGACAGCAGCTCGCGGGAGCGGTGCAGCTTGGCGACGATGCGCGTCTGGCGGCGCCGGTGTATGCGCTCGCGCAGCATGCGCGCCAGCGTGGCGTTGGCCAGCTGCAGTGGCATGTCCTCGGACAGGGCCTCCAGCACGCGCATCGGGTCGAGGTTGCCGCTCTCCGCGTTGAGGACCTGCGACGCCACGGAGAGGGCGTCGAAAGTTTTACGCGGCAAGGCAAGCGGGCAGCCGTTCGGTCCGCGCTCCGCCAATAACGGCGCCCAAGCGTTCTAAGCCCACGTTTCTCCGGTGATAGTATAATTTGCCGAAACATGGCAAAGCAGTTCCGGTGAACGTGGCGGACGGCGTCAGACGCCGCCGGCATCCGCTGACTTCCGGTTTCAAAGCGACAGGAGCAACACGATCATCCGCTTGTTCCATTGTGGTCAACAGGGGCCAAGCCCACCGGGAAGAACGCAACCTGTGGGATGGAAGTGGGAGCGGTTGCGCTCTGTTCGGAACACATTTGTCTAGTCGGTGAAGCAAGGCTCTCACTGGGGCATGGCAACTGGGGGCACTATTGACCCACAAATGGAGTCATTGATGCACATGGATGAGTCAGCTGATAGGCAACTGGGAGTCATTCATGCACGGTGATGCACATCTACGCACAATCCTGCACGTGCTGTGAATTGACTTGGCTGGAAATAGACATACTGGAAACAGACGCAGCTCGAAATGGGCAGGTGACGTGTTGAAGTCAAGTCTCGAGTTCCTTACCCACAGCGACAAGACTGATTAACACACATCGTGCCAGTGGCCATTCACAGGTGCACATTGCACAAGGGTGCACAATCCCTTGATGAAAATCTCTGCAATAGATCAACTTTCACCAGTCCAAGTTGTGCAATTCGCCACCAGCAACAAAACGAGGGTAGGCCATTTGAATCATACCCACAATACATCAAAAAGATGGGTAGAGACAATGATGCTCAAATTGCCCAAGTGGGGCAGTGTCACAACAGCAGTAGAATGCAACAATATGGTGCATGCTGATCCCAGCATGGCATCCGATTGTGATGCACCATGTCAATTTATGCTGTCTGGCTCCGTGATGCTGTCTTGCACTGCATCCAATGGAGGTGGATGCAGCTTGCACGTACCATACAGGCTTCTGTGTACATTGGCTGCTGGCCATCCCCAGGGTGGAGGAGCATTTCCAGCAGTGTCAAAAATCCGTCCTGGCCACCATGCTGCTTGCAGTATGCTATTGCCGATCCCACCTCACGAAGTGTAACAGCCAGCACCCGTAGTGCCCGAGGATGATCACACAATCGACAGTACAAGATGACCTGGAAACACAAATGCTGGCTGAATCCTATTCTGTTCAAAAGATTACCGATAGGCAGTTTCACATGACAACAGGTGCCTTAGTATCTGCAGATGATGGCAATGATTGTGGCATCCTGTACTGCACTGGGCCAGAAACGGTGCTCTTTTTGGCAAGTACAAAGCGATTTTTCTTGCTACAATTGAATGTGATGTGTTGAGTACTGAGAACAACCTCTTCTGAACACCCATGCTTGCTGTTCCACTAGCTTGAGAGCTTGAATGGCAGTTGATATTTGCAAGAACGGCATGCTTTGTGGGGATGGCACAGTCAGTGAGGATGATGCAGTTGTTGGAAACCAAGAAACCAAAAAGGAGAAAATTGCATATTCTGACTCGCACAGTGCTGTGTCACCTTTGATTCAGGTGCGTGCATATAATTTTGTACTGCATACAATCACAAAATCCAATTTATCATCAGCCACCCATGAAAAGCATCTGTCATAAGCGCAGCACAGCCACTCAAAGCACAGCGCTGACATGTCACCTGCTCTTTGTACAACTTCGTGCTTTCAACTGCGCGAAGCACCCTCAGGACATCATACAGATGCGACTTGTGCAAGTGAGACTGCAGGACAGAGTGCAGCTCCGCTTCAGAAGTGGCGGGCAGTTCATCTGGCTCGTCATATCTGCCAACAGCGGCCACATCTGGATTTGCTGCTTTGCTGCTGGCTGCATCGCCTCTGGACGATTCCTTCGCATCCAAAACGCCAGGGAAATTACAAGGTTCAAGGCATCGACAACAGCAAGAACGCAGATTTATCTTGCAGGACACCCTGAAGATCGGCATTTGATCTATGTGCGATGGTTTTCCCCATGCCAGGTATGCACATTTCTGCTGAATACCAGCAAATCCAACAAGCAGCACCAGACAACATTCATGGGGCCCACATCACCGAACTGCCCTTTCATGGCTGGAAGCCAAATTCCCACAGCAGCAGCTCAGATGAAAGCATGCAATGTGAAGCCCTTACCTCTGTGCTGCTCTTGCTTTGATAAGTATGGCTCCCCAGGACTGCAGAAACCACTGCAGAGTCTTTCTGGGCTGTTTCAGTGGTGGACTGTGCTTCTGCCTCCAGTATTGCTTGGACCAACACCAGTGCCAACTCCGTGTGGTGCTGCGGCTTCAACGTTTGTCCAGATGTGGTGAGGTGATCCAAATATCTCCAACGCAGTGCCAGCGGCTGCTGTGGCAGGAGCCCAAGGACTGCGTCCGCCACAAGGGATCGAGCCTGCAGTTATGTTCTCCCATCAAAAGAATGTGGTCATAGTGGGTACAAGCTTACTCACAGTGGTGTCTTTGCTGACAGTGCCAAAATGTTTCCTCCCATGGACATGTGCACACATCCTAGTGGTCTGTTGCAACACATGCATTGGCACTATCAGCAACACACGCCAGCACCTCACCTTGACTACTTGAAGAAATCTCAAAGGAGCAAGGTCCCGCAGCCACACTAAGTGTCTCAATACCAACTCATCATCCACATCTTCCTCCTCCGCCTGATGCAGGGGCCACAGATGCGAACCAAGTCAATTGAAAGAGTTGCAAATGGGAACAGCACAGGAGAATATGACATGAGAGGACCTCCCCACTGGCAACAGTGCTAAGAGAACAACATCACAGAAGGTGATATGGTAATGTTCAATCGCTGAAACATTGTGATACATTATTGGATCAATGCTAACCGCGGCAGTAAGTGCACCGCTGAAAATCAATTCTTCCCATTGTGGCACCTCACAATACATGCAGGTACAATCAGCAATGCAGGTCCATCCCAGGTGTGCCACGTGCGGAGGTTCTTTTTCAGCTTCAACGGAAAAGCGCTGTGCCCCAAACCATTTTTCCTGCTGACCTTCACAACTCCTTGGTGAAACAATGGCAGAATCACCAATGAAAGAATGGCCAAAAGTAGGTGCCAAATTGTTTCCTGCAAGCCACTGGTGATATTTTGGCTGAATTGCAGAACTACTGCAATTGCCAAAGGCATAGGCGAAAATTTTCCTCCTGTCCAACCCCAAAATGTTGGCTAATACAATGGTCACACAAAAGCAGAGGCACAGCCCTGTTTCAGCCTCACCAGCAATTTCGCTGCATGGTATTTGGCAACCTTTGTCGCATCGCCTCCAGCCTGTGACACTGCACCTCCTAACCTTGCAGGCTTCTCCTTGATCTGGGAATTCGCCATCCGCTGCCACAGGTCAAGGGCACGTGCGGCTGCCCTGTGGCTGGACACCAACAGCGCAAGAGCATGAGGACGACCCATGTCCAACAACTGTTGCTCCACATCCAACAGCACGACCTACATAGTCAAAGCCATTGGCTGTCACAAGCCAAGTACATGACGTTCACGCTCTGATAGAGTCCAATAACTGGTGGTGCATTGCCTTGTTGTATTATGACAGGATCACAGTACTGATTTGCACCACTCATGCTCAGGGCCTGATGCTCGAGGATACTGAGATTATTATGGTGAAGTTAGAAAAGGAAATAAACGATTGCAACACCACTTTTCAACCAGCTAAGCGATCTTTGAGAAGATTGCTGTTGAAATGCGTCCACACAGGGGGCAATGGGAAACTACACTTCAGCGCCATCCCACAGCAGTCAGTACCATGCAGATTTTGACATTCGTTTTCAACAGTACCTTCAAGGGAGTTTTCATCGTTACTTTTGCGATAACTCAGCACAGTTGCATGGAAATTGGTGTACCAACAGTTTCCTGTCTACGAATGGCAAAGTTCCCTGTACCATCCAGATGTTGTGTCTGTTCCTTGTAAGATGAATTTTGCATGATCATGCGTTCGTCTTTTTACACTTGAAGGCAACAAAAAGACAGCTCTAAACTGACCTGTTGCGGAGATGCAAGAAAATCCTCCAGTCGGCCAGCATCTCCCACATTTGCAAGCAAGTGCACTATCAATGTGTCAATGCCATCCATAAGACGAACCCCAGCACGTCTCCTGACCTGCAGGATAGCGAAAATCAGTGTTCGAATCGGAGCGTGGGAGGCGCAGCAGCAAGGTCCCCAACGATGAAGATATGCAGACAAGTGCTCAGCACAACAGTTGAAACGAGGGAATGCAGCCAAAGATCGCTCCGAAGGTCCAGCAGTGCCAGTCTTCCCATGATTACAAGGCATCCATGCCAAGCACCCCAAACCAAACCAAGATTGATATTGAAACCCCCTGTAGTCATGACTGTCTCGTTCCTCAGGCTCACTAAACAGGAGATTGAGCTGGCAGTTTCTGCAGCCGTGCAGCCGTGGCTGCCTCCTAGGCTAGGGCCAGTGCCCTGTTATCTGATACTTGCAAATTATCACCACAAGCCTTACATTCCAGCTGCCAATTATCAGCTTCTGGCACTTGCAGCCGCGATTACTGCAAACCAACACCACCCTGACAGCTGTCTTTCTGCTGTTGCTCGCTTCTGGACAATATAGGGCAATGTGGTGGCAATGACAGACACAAATACAGTCATCAGTGACCACAATAGACAGGTAATTGAGCTGGAAACTTTCTGGATTCATCAAGATAAGAAAGGCATGGACGGCTTGGCTCTTGCCTCCATTGAGCAGACAATGCTTTGCCTGGGGCTTGTGGGGATTTTTCAGTGCTCACACAACCGGCACGGCTGGTCATGCCAATGCCCTACAGAGTCCTGTACACCGGACGGGTGCTGTGTGACATTGTTGGCCACATGATGTGCTGCTTGACTTTTGAGCATCTTCATTGGAACACAATGACGATTACTTGCTTTCCTGTAATGGCACATGTCACCAGACTAAGTCCCTTGTGCCACATACGCTTAGAAGATACGAGGCGATCTGCTGCTTTGCTTCCAGCAGGTGCTTGTCTCTGGCGCTGGTGCTTGGCTTGCCAGGCCCCCTGTCCATCTCGCTGCTGGAGATGCCCACTGCACAGCAAACACCAAGAGACTTCGGCGCAGCATTGGCAAAACCCTGTAGTCACAAATGGCAGTAGCCCAGGCAAGACATTCAATATCGAGACTGCACAGACAACTCCTAGGGGAATTTTGAGACTGCAACGAACGCACCACCGGCTTTTAGTTGCAAGGGCAATGTTTTGCCAGTTTCGCAGGTGTGCTCAAAGCAGAATTGCACACGGACAAGGCAATGACTCAGGTTGCCCTCCATAGGCTGGCATACACATTGCGACATGAGGCATTCATCATGCGTTGTATACGAGCTGCTATCTTTTCACCAACACACAGCCACCATGGGACACATGTTCCTGATGCCCAGTTTCCTGACGCACTTTGGTGGCTGGTGGGCTTCAGTGCCACTGTGGAATCAGGCCTGCCTCCCCTTCAAAAGAGGCAGTGCTCCAATCGGCACCTCGATTCACAACACAGGTAGTCTACAACACAGCACAGTCTCTGTGCTGGGTGGCCAGGGGTCCTCATGGACCCATCTATTCATTTCCTTTTCAGCACTCCCTGCACTCCTAGAAGACAACAACCTTGCCCCAATCGTTGCCATCAGCTGCCTGGCTTGCTGCTCTCAATTGACTAGCTTGCTGCTGAGCGAAGGCCAAGGGGCTCGCAAACAGAGCCAACATTGTCTTGTTGCTCCTGGCACGCTGCACCAATTGTTGTTGTCTGTCGTTCACCAACTCTGGCGCAGTTTATCAACATCACTCACCCGGGTCTGCAGAGGGTGATTCTCCTCCATATGAGTATCGACGCCCAACACCAACCATCTTTTCCAAGGTGATCAGGCCACCGTGCAGCCCCCAGTAATCCTTCAAAGGCACCTGAGACCATGGGGTGCACAGCACACACAATGAGCGCCCTCCACAGACAAGGCCCATTGTGCTTCATCCAAGAACACCTGTTGGTTGGTAAGTCGATACCTATCACAGCATGATATGTCCATAGGCAGTGGCTTGCTTTGTTGGGAAATATGGAACAATGCAGACAAACAGACTGTGAGCCACATGTCCAGCTGCGCACCTTTCTATCAGCAATGCCACCACTGTTTCGTCAGCATGAGACGCAAGGCAGGTGTTTAAAAGGAGAAATTTGGACAACAGCACACACACCTGTTCTGCCCATTTTTCAGTCCACGCAGGAAACAAGGGGAAGAGTTCACAGGGCTGGAAGACCTCGATGCTGCAGTGTTCGAGGCACTCGATGGCCTCCCTCCATCGAAAATCTGGTCAAAAGTATGTCAACTGAGTCGTGGACCACGCAATAATAGGTTCCTTGACAGCTGCTGGAGGATTCATATACTCTTTTCACTAGTGATTGTGAGCTGGCAGATGCATTGAAGGGTGTCCAGGAAATGCTGAGCCATGTTTGATACCAGCTCATGGCAACAGCACTGGGGATAAAGGTTGGGCAAGCTGTTGACAAGGATAAAACTCCTCATCGAATGTTGGCAGCAGTCAGAGATATATCTAGAATGAGTTGTGGCATGGAAATCACAAGCAACTTGCTGAGGCCTTTTCGGTGCTGTGCGCTTCAGGGTCAGGCACGTTTCAGCAGCCTGTGCAGTATATGGGGTACAATCACAGCATGCGATTTTCAACTTGGCCCGTTACATGGATCCATTTTTATTGCAGGGAAGAAGAGCTAGACAGCTGCGGTCCGCTCATGTCATCTATCACCATGTTCCTGCATGCTCATTTTGCAGATTCTGTGCCAACATCTCAGACAGCAAAGACTGAAACTCGCCAACCACGAACAATATCGTTTTCAAATCTTACACCTTTGCCAGCATAGAAACAGAACCACTACGCAGGGCTTGCACAAAAAAAAAAGATTGGATCACTTCCAAGCTTTGTGCATAGCCAAACCCAGAAAATGTTGTCAACATCGCCCAGTGTGAATGTAATCAGGTTCACTTGTCGATTCATGACAATTGTCATGGATGAGGACCATCACACCACAAATGGCACACTACACACATGAACAGAAGCCATATCAGAAGCAGACAGGCAAATAATCGCAGTATCAATGTCGCACCTTGCAGCAGCAGCAGTCCTGCCTGCGCATAAAAGATGGGCACCCAGGGTTCCCCCTTGGCACTGCACTGCTCTGCCAGCTCCAAGGCAGCCGCATAGCTGCGACCCCTCAGCAACTGCTGTGCCTGGTTGTCTGGTGCCACAGGGCGCAGGATCCATATGCGCCGGGGTGAGGCCAGCACCACACATGCCCCTGTGGGTGTGTCTGCATGGAACAGCTGGGGTTGAGAGGGATCATCTGGATTCATGAAGCCTGTGACAGAGACAAGGAACACAATATGAATGATTCCACCATTGTGAGGAGAGAAAGGTGTGAAGATATGTATCCAATACGGAAGTTAGAAAACACAGCACGCTGGTCATGGCACATGAGATGACACACTATGGGCGGAAGCAATATGGGTTTTATGAGTGCTCACCATCACACTGTGGTACAAGGGCAGTGTTCTGTCCATTGGGTCCAAAGCAATCAAGCAGAATCTGCCAATGCAGAGAATGGTCAACATTACTGAAGTAACTCCAGCGTCCTGTGCCAATGGGCAGATCGCAATCAACTCAAACCTTGACATGCATCACTCTTGCTTCATGAAACGTGCTTTTGTCTCGCCAGGCACTAAAGTTTCAAATTGTTTGTTGAGAGGCTGCTTCGTGGCCAATGCTGCACAATGCTACACAACTAACAAGGGTTCCTGCCGCCCAGGAACAGAGGAGAGACGTCAGAACATTGTCAGTTTCGCAAATCCAAATTTTTGCACAAGACGACAGAGCAACACAGGAGTCATAAATGAATGATAGAGGAGCAAAGTGCAAGGGACCCACAGTCGGCAACATCCTGCTGCCATTCCCTTACCCTGCAGGCCTCACCATTGACAGGAAATGGGATCCTCTGGAGCAGGCGACTTGTCCCTTGGTCATAGATGTGTATGTCCCCTCCTTCACAAACTGCCAGCAAGTTTACGAAGTCAGACAAGACAAAGATGGGATGGCAACAATTGATTCACAGCCAGACAAGCACTCCACTTCATCTACATTGCGAATTTTCAGTGCCATTTTCGTTCTTCAGAACCTAACACAAAGTCCAGCCATTTGCAGCAACACGATTTGGAGAGTTGTTGACAACCCTTTCGACACCTGAAGACAGGGACCAACACTGAGCCACTTTCAATAAACCCTGTCCTTCCACTACCTCAGTTTCCCACCTGCGACAATGCACATTCCACCTTGCATTAATCGCAGCGGTTTGGCAGGCAGGTTCAGTGGAGGCCTTGCAGCCTGTCCATCTGCATCTGCCACAACTGCCATTGTGTCCTGTGAACCAGCAGAAGCGCCTTCAATATTTTGGGTGCAATATACCTTCACAATGTCCCTGAGTGCATCGTATTCTGAACAAAAAAAATAGAAACATTGGCTTGATTTCCATTGACAGCCGCCTCTGCATAGATATAGTTGTCAAAGCAGAACATGTGTATACTACTGCAATTCATGCCTCACTTCACAATTGGCAATCACACAGTCCTGTCACATCATGAGCACTACCAGTTACCTCCCACAGCAGCACAGCCACGTTTGCAGAAGCAAGAGCAGTGCACATGGGTGTCGTGCTCGGCTCCAGCAAGTCTCTCAACCCATCGGCTTTGATGACCTTGTATGTGCGGTGCAGGCATAGCACCAGCTGTTGCCCAACCCACACAAGGTCCTACACAGCCATTTCAGGTCCCCAGGTGAATCTCTTGATAAGGAGCAAAGACCAGCGGGCGCCCTTGAATGGCTCAAAGAGGCGTTGTGAGTCAAGCTTTTAAAAGCATCTATCTCAAATGGCAAATTGCTGTCCTTGTGCACTCAAAGCATACTGGTTGTGCAGGCTTTGAGACTGGAGATGTCAGGGTAGCGTAGAAGGGGAAAAAGCAGGCACACTTTTGCAACAACCATGTTCGCAACAGTGACAGGCAAGGCCACCAATCAGTTCACACGTTGATTCTTGAATCCTGCTGTTAATCCTGCGTCCACATTCATTGAAGGGGATAGGGTAAGCTTCTTTGCATCCTGTAGATAACAATGAACAGAGCTACGTCCACAAGGTATGTTCCACAATGTTTACCTGTTTCTGTTCCGAACATAGTGTTGAACTATGCTTTGTAATGGTGCTTATGCAACATGGGATTCAACATGCATTACATTGGCCACACCTTCAATACGGAAGGCAGGGGGCAAAGTGTGGCCCTGAATTGTGCATCATCACTGCCAAAGGCAGGTTTGAAAGAACACCATTTACACCACAGCAGTGGACCATCAGAGAGCCTCCAAAGACAGCCGTGAGGGAAGTAGCCTATGCTCTGCAGTATGGGATATCGCAATCGTAAGACAACAGAAAATGGTGTGTGCACTTGTACGACTTCGTTGGCACTCATGCCACCAGTACTGCAGTGAAGTACCTTGACTTCATCAGGCACAGGGTATTCAACCAACAGGCGGGCCGGCTCCCTCATGGTGTGCCCTGATGCAGCCCCAGGGAACACCTCATACACATCCACCCGGCTCTTCCTCGACCCCAGCCTGACAGCGACAGCCAAATGGCTGGGGGAGCGCGAACTCACTTCCACAGCAAGACATGTGGCACCCTTTGTACAAAACAACAACACGGAAAGAATGCTGCAGTGAATCCCATGCAGTGGTTGAGCTGACTGCAGATGTCAGAAAACAACAGCAAGACAATAAAGGGCATCCCATCATCCTCCATGGTCGACTTCTGAAGAAGACGTCCACCATTTGCAGTGCATGAAACAAAGCACTGGGATAATGAACTGCTCACATGGGAATGCTGAGAGATGAGTGCGAAGAGAAAACAGTCTTCCGGCTGCTCAATGTACTGGCCTTTAAGCAGTGAGACCTGATCGTGGACTCGAACTGATTGTGACAATGGAATTGTGTCTAGAGGTTGCAGAGATGTATTCGACTTTTGGAAGAAGGAAAATCGACAGTGCATCTGCTACATTTTGGTGGAGAAATTACTAACATGGGGCTTCTGATACGAATTGCACCAAACTATTGACTCTGCATGGTTTTTCCAGATAGTGAGGACTTCTGGTCCATTTTCTTCTGCATTTGCTGTGGCCTTCCTCATTCTGGTGCGCATGACAATCTTGTGGGCCATCACTGTTGTCAAAAGGTAGCACAGGGTTGTTGGGCAGCACAGGAAAAGTCGCTGAAGGGAGAATGTCCCAGCTGCAAACCAAAGGATGACAAAACTATTCAAATTTTCTGTGAACAGATACCTTCAGCTTCTGGATTTCAACAGGTTCAAGCTGCTCCAGCTCACAAAGGACAACGTGCCCATCTTCAGTCAAGGCTGCCAGACGATTGACGGCAGACAACAAGCAGATGCCCACCACACCCTGTGACCAACAAGGACACACAGGGGGTGAAACAGCGCATAGTGAGGAAGAGGTATACATTGTACCGAAATAGCGTTTAAATTGACACATGGGATGGACTGGTTATCAGCTAGGAGAAGAACATCAACAACGCATGGTTCGCAGGGCAAGCCAGGCCACAAGTGCAAAGTCATATGGTTGGCTGCAAAGTCCCCCAGCACTGCTGGAAGCTGTGCTGGCGAAGTGATGGGCAAAATCAAGCTCGTTGCAGCAGAAGCCCATGCAGCAGTGTCAACATAAATGGCCAAAATGGAGATGATCACAACTGGCAATTTGAGATGTGTCTGTCCTGGATTGCTCAACTCTGGGTGGGGGATTCACACGTATTGTTTCTGCAAGTGCCAATGAGGTTGATTGGACAGATGTGTGGCAGTTTGTCATGGCTATGAAAAGCATTGCCCATTGAACGTCACAGCCATTGGTGTCACTGACGGAAGGCGGCCGATGGCGAGGACAATTACTCAGCACATCTGCTGACTGCCGGGTCCATGAGCACCTTAAGCAAACAATGAAAGTCACAAGCAGCGCCAAATGCAGCCCTGGACTGGAACGTCTCCGACTGTGTTGCTCTGGTCACTTGGATGCAGCAGAGTCTTCCCCCTTCCATTCTTGAAACAATTCAGCAGCGCTCCAGCCATGTGTGACGCACACATATCAAGACAATTGAACACGACTAGAATCTCAGCAACTGCTCAGATTCCCAGATCCAGGTCAAGCGGCGATTTCACACCATCCACAATCACCTCATCGCGCCGCGGATCAGCCACAACTCCGACATGTTCGCGGCAATAGTCCGCTCTGATGCCCAGCCAAACGTACGGAAACCGGGGGCACCTTTTTGGACACGCTTCTCCTCGCGCTGAACCTGGCGACAATGCCCGAGGGCGTCTGCATCAACCGGTGCTCCTCCAGGACGCCCGCGTCGAGGCCGATGTACAGTCGCTGGCCATCGCCGTCGACGCCCACGCTCGTCACGCGCGACTGATCGCGGCGCTGGTGCACGGCATTCAGCTCGAAGGCGGTCCTGGAGCCCTCGGGGTCGGCTGTGCTCATAACCGGTGTGCAAAACTGCTCGCCAGCGGGGCGGTCGGAGACGGCTGGAAGGCACGCACAAGACGGCGTGCCGCTGGAGTGGGGGGTTGCGGAGGTCGGGGTTGCCTGGGGAATGCAGCCTTTTTCCATTTTTCTTTGAGTCGTTTTGAGTTTTTTTTGACTTGTTTTTTAGACGATGAGGTTGAGGATGAGTGGGTCCTGTGGGTTTGAGCAAACTGGAATTTGTTCCGCTGCAGGAGTCGTGGCTCCCAGTGGAGGCGACCGTTGTGGTCTTCGAGCACCTTACGTCATTTGAATCTGGGGCCAGCATCACGTCACAAGAGCGAAGGCAGCTCCGTGACTGGATGGTGATTGGCCAGTTTTCTTGCCTTGTTCTGTGGAGCAAGGCGCTCAAAACCAACTCCAAAACATGCGCAACTATGCACACAACAGGCACCAACTCCGTGGCGGGGCCGCCTTCCCGTTTCTCCGTTCCAAGGCAATGAACCTAAGCCTAAAAGGGGTATGCAGTACAAGTTTAGAAGCTCGAAGCGCAGTGGACGCGACAGCCCGCCCGCGTCACCGTCCTACACCTCGCCACCCTGGCCCAAGAACCGGCACGAAACGCCCAAAAGGGGTCTGGCTGCGCCGAACCTCCGCATGCCGGGGGACGCCCGACACCCACAGCGGGCAGGGGCGCCACAGCTGGTGCCGTAGCCCCCACAGCAAAGCGGCGCTGGGCTCCGCGCTGAACGAGAGAGGATCCCCCGCGCGGCGGTAGAGATGAATGGAGCGGCGGGGAAGGGGGGGATGGGGGGCGTCACGCAGGGCGCGCTGGCCCTGGTGGGTCCGGCCCTGCTGGTGGGGCTGTTCGCGTGGCTGATGCTGGTGGACGGATGGGCGACGGGGTGAGTGGGCGGTCGCCAGTACGCGATGTGCAGCGGCATCGGGGAGGGGGGGCCGCAGGGAGTGCGGGGATGGCGCAGGGGAGGCGTCGCGAATGAGGGTGGTGGGCGGGGGCGGCGCACTTGAGAAGGGGAGGAAACGGGCCGCAGTGCTGAGAAGCAAGTGGGGATGTGGTGGGAGGGAGGCGTCGGGGGGCGGTTGGTTGGTGGTTGAGGGTGGGAGTTGGTCTCGGCTTGGCTCGGGCTGCCTGCGAGGGCGAGTGTGAGTGGCCGTGGACGGCACAGTTTGGATTAATCGCGCGCGCTGCGTGGATGCGAGGGCGATTTCGGGCGCTGGGGGCGATCAAATCTGACCAGCTCGCGGCCCGTTGTCGTGTGAGGGGGGCGTCAGCTTTCGCGCCAAATTTCGCGATTGCTGACGGGATGACCCGGACCGCCACGGTCGACGATCAGCGGCGTGGGCAGTTTCGTGATGTCCCGATTCTGCTGTTCCAGGTGGCCGCCGACCGGCGCCGAGGACGAGGGAGAAGGCGCCGCGTGGAGTCAGGTGGGGTGGCGCCCGGGTGCCGACACGTCATTTCCGTGACCGGCACGCCGGCAAGCCCATCCCTTACGGCAACGCAGAGCACGTGCGGCCTGACGCCAGCCGCCGTAACCCGGTGCTCGATCCGCGCCATGCGATGGTTGTCGCCGTTAGGTGGCTTGCATCGGGTGTTTGACGCCGCGGATGGCGGTGTTGCGTGCAGAAAGTGAGGAGGCTGCCGCGCGATCTGCTGCTGCTGGCCCTGCTGGCTGTGCTTTACCTGCGCTCCAGAGTGGGAGGGCAGGGCTGGGCAGGCTTGGGGCCCGGTGGGGACACGGGTGAGTTCGATTGGCGGAGGTGGGAGGCGATTGGTGGGAGTCGGTGGTACGGCCTGTGCTGTGCCTGATTCTGAAGAAGTTCTTTTGGTCAGGCAAACGGGGGAAGGGGCCCTACTTTGCATGCCTACTCGCGAGCGAATCACCTTGCTCACGGATGCCAATTCGTTGATTCAGGTGTTAACAAATGGCGAAAGCGCTGAACTTGCAACATCTGGCTGATGCCCATACCGTGTGCCTGATCATTGACCGTTGATTCGGTCGTTCCTGGTCATACACAGCAGTTCCCGAGCCCCTGCATGGTGGCTTCTGTGGTGTTGCTGTTGATCCACTCTGTTATTATGTTGTACACATTTTCATCACAGCGCAGTTGCTGTTCCCTTGCATTAGTTGATGCCCTTCGTCAACTCCTCTGAACATTCCTGTCACCTGCTGGCCAACGTACACTGTGCACCATTTTGCTTGTTTGCAATGTCCTATGTCTTGGGCCACACATTGCTGTATCGATGGTTTGACAGGAGTTCCTGAATATCTAAAATGATTTCCGAATCCTGTGATAGTCACCCAGACTTGACACAGATTTTGTGCATAAATCATGGAGTACACCCGGCTTCAGGCCAGGCGGTTTTCTGGCAGCAGCCATCTGAGTGAGCTATGGTTATCAGGTGCTTCAACAGGTCCACCAAGTCGAAGGAGCCTGTCACGCGATTTTGAGGATTTGACAGAAGAGGAAATCAGGTACCGATGATCAAAGGCAGCACCATCAGTCTGCATTCTGTACCCCTACCCTTGCAGCTTTCAGGCGATGTCTACTGCTGTCTGCGCTTGCAAATGTCATTTGTCAGTATCTCCATCTCCCACCTGTGGCAACCTGTTACACAAGTCTCAAACATTCAGGTGTGCTAGCACTTGAGTTGCGAATACAGAAGTTATGCTGCACTGCATAGACGTGCAAAGTGCTCAGACCCTGCGATGTATGCCGTCGGCTCAAGCATATTGTCCCTATGTGTGGTGTCACTGCACAGAACAGGCAACTTCATGATAATGTCAGCTGTCCATTGCACTTTCCCCTTCAAAAAGACCAAGAAAAATGGGAAACGAAGGAATTGGTCCAAATGCAGCGTCGAGGCTGCAACTTCTTGATCCATCAACAAAAGCTGAAAATGTGACAGGATTGTACCTGCAAGTTTGTTCTCACTTGGCATGCATCTCATGTTCACAGGAGCGTAAAACATCTCTCTTCTGGCAACGATTGTGTCAGCGCTCTGCAGTTGTGCAACGCAAACCATGCAAGCCGGTTGAGGGAAGCTGTGCCCAACGTCTTCTTGCTCCACCTCGGCCAGCTGCTGGGCGAGAAGTCAGCCACCAAGGCGCTGCAGTTGCTAGCAAGGGGTGGGGAGGTGGGTCAGCCATGTGCACTGTTCGGCGAGCTGCAGGAGAAGGGCCCATGGGAGAGTGGGTGGAGCAGACCAGTAGTGAAGTCCCAGCGGGGCATCACCTTCGAGACGACCAAGCGGCGCTGGAGGAATGGGCTGTATTTGTACAAGACGACAACTAGTAAGCGCATACGATTGGCTTTGCTGCAATCGTGGTGGCTGGCAAATCCACATATTTGCAAATTGATCAACAAAACATTGCCCCAGAGCCTGGGAAACGAAGCAAGCGATGTCTCACCTTCCTGGCTTTTTTCGCTGCGTAGTTCTTGAGGACTGCTCACCTGCCAAGTTTCGAGCTTTCAACATGGACACAGCGAGTCGGAAGACCTGGGACTGGTCGATGGAGTCATGGCAGAGAATCGAGGAGCCACTGGATGACGACCCAAATGCTGACTCATGCTTCTACCTTCACGAGTAGGTCCTGTGTGAGCTAGTCATTCTGGAAATGACTGACCAGGATGTGGGAGAGTCTTTGGTCTGGATGTCCAGATTGAGCTTGAGAGAAAAACTGGCCATGCCTTGTTATGTATTTCCATTTCGCCATTGAGGAAATGGTGGATGCTATTGAATCAAGGTGTTTGATCGCATCTCCATGATTGACTCTGTCCCACAGCTTTCCCATAATAAGTTCTGACCACTCGCCTGAGGGAAGAAAAGCGGCAGCAGGCTGTTACTTCCCCACGTCCTGAAAGCGAGTAGACTGTGCTCATGTCCTGATTTTTGGGCGTACTGCAGAGCTCGGATGCCCGGCCCCATTTGCAACAGGGTGTACGGCTGTGCACGCCGGGTCTGGGACAACTCGGATGGGGGCTGCTACTGGATCACAAAGTCAGCAGTTCATCCCAGCATTCCCAACACAAAGCCAGGCACAGTGAGGGTGGACGAATACACATCTGGATCTGTCATTCGGTGAGTGTGACTTCTGTGCGTTAAGGCAAATTAGCGAGCTTTGTTATCCTAAGACACTCAAAAGGCTGAAGAAGTTGCATAGCTTCGTTGCAAGTGGAAGTTACAGACTGCTGGTAGCTGCCCAAGGAGAGACCTTGAGCCAGAGGAATAGGCCTCACGTCTTGCCTGCTGCCATCGAATTTGTATGTGATACTTATTTGCTTTGCACGTCCATCTGTGCCACATGGAAATGCAGGGGCAAATGTCTAGGGGCTGCCAATTTGGGGATGTTGCCACCCCATGAAGTGTCAGCAACTTCATCTTGTCTTTGCTTTCCTTGGACGACACCTTCACTGAGGAGTTGTGCCTGTTCCAGGGGTGCCAGGAGCCGTCAGGGGCTGAGCACGCCTGCTGTGGAGCTGTCCTCAGTCTACTTCGACGACCCCAAGATGCGCCCGTTGGCTTTCAACCTCGCGATGAAGAGCGCACTGTGGGTCGCCATGCAGGCCACTGAGCGCGCCTTCCGACAGTGGCTGGAGAACAACGACGTTGCCACAGAGCAGGAGCTGCGGACGCCAGGACACCCTGTGCGTGGGCTGCCAGAGAGCGCGCGAAACGCAGGCAGACGGCGTAAGGGGCGCTGGCGCAAGGTCGTGAGGGGGGTGATTTTCGGGGGCGTCGCCTTTGTGTTGCACAAAGTCGTCAAGTAGGGTGTGTTGCGATGGAAGAGCGGCTGAAGCACAGCCTGGGTTGGGAGTTATTGATTGGAGCGGAAAGCGCTGTGTTTTGCGGGGTTTGGGGTTTAAGGTGGGTGGCTGGGCGTTGCTGTGCCTGGCAATTGGCTCGCTTTCTGTATTGGGGATTGGGTGGCAAGAAAGTTTGATGGAGTGTTTGTATTTAGTTGAGGGAGAGAGATGCTGGTATGTACTGGGGCCTGGAGTCCGCATTTTGGATTGGTCTTTTCAAAGCACAAGGGAATTTTGGTCATCACCAGAGAGCTGGAGGGGTGTTTCTCCACTCTGGGGAGGAATAAAAAGCTTGAGCAGGTGAGGTGCAGATCCCCTGAAGAAGCTGTTGAGTTTTCGCTTCAAGGGGAATTTTGAACTGCGGCTAGCCAACATTAATTCAAGAACTTTGTTTGTATTCTTGGCACCTCTTAGCTAGCCATGGGAATATCGTCTAATGGATGCAATTGTATTTCGAGTGCGCTGGGAAAGGAAAAAATGGATCTTGCCAAACATGGCAGGGAACATTGAGAGGGTCCAGCCCTGTACCAGAATAAACGATGCACTGAACAACGCTGTCACAATGTAATCTCGATTTCACCTGCTGATCCATTTCACAAATGTCTCAGGAACCTCTGCTGATGTCTCATAGCATGGGCGTGTGATTTCTTTTTGGAATCTGCTGTCCACACTTTTCACACTGGGCGACCACATGTTGCTGTCGCACCTGGGAGGAGGTGGTCTGGAGGGGCACTGTGGAGGTTTGTGATGTTGCGCAGGACACTACTTTGACACTGAATTCTTCGTCTGAAATTATTGGGTTGAGCAGTATGGTTGTGGGCCTTGCTGCATGGTTGTGGGCCTTGCTGCAAACACAGTACCCAAGCGATGGCGATATCAGCAGAAGACACACACTTCACTACCTTCATATCGAGGGAAAACCCGAGCATGTGAGCATTGAAATTGCTCAAGACAGCTTTCGCTATTTCATTCCTCCCACTCGTGCTCTGCGCCCGCTGCACAGTGGGGGGGGACTGGCAACCAACTGCGGTCCACTGCTAGAGTCTGTCTGTTCTCCTGCAATGCTGGGTTGGAGGTTGAGACAGTGTTCCCTGCGCGTTTGGCAAGTGACAGAGGGCGAGTCCGTGTGTGTTGCGAAAGGCTGAGTGGTCGGTTCTGAAAGGCAGGTTGGGAGGGAAGGGAACCCGTTCCAAGGACTTCTGCCCGGCAACGGTCAAGGGGGGTGCACACAACTGTCGAGCGAACAGAGTACTTTCCCGGGGAGGGTAATCTAAGACAGTTTGGATTGCTGACGGGGCATGCACCGCGAAAGCGCATCGCAGGTTGCAAAGGCGCCGCACCACTCGTCAGCTTCCACCAACACCACCGATGCCAGAGCGCGGCGATTTCCAGCGCCCAGCTCCATCCCTCAATACGCGCTCCACATTGAAGTCGATCCTCTCGAATGCGCACCATCCCGTCCAGACGCCATTTGCCGCGTCTCTTGGCGGCCACGGTACGGGTCTGCACGCCCCTTCGCTCCAACCTTCAAGAGCCATGAAGGGCCAGCTCCCCCTTTGCTGCAACTTCCCTGCAAAAGACCTCGCGCGAATCGACGCCAACCTCCTTGACCGCCCAGCTCGGGCCACAGCCGCCCACCGCGACGAGTTGCCGGAAGCCAGCCCACCAGGTGCTCCCCCCCGCCCCCCATGCCCATCAGGGACAGGAACACAGGACAGCAGGAACCCCCACGACTAAAAAGTGAGGACCAGTCAGGACAGAATGCGTCATGTGACAGTCAGGCGGGACGGGGTGATTGCTTGCCTCCAACGGCCGGTGCGGACCCCGTGGTGGGCACAAATACGGTTGCCTACGATGGCCTCCGGGTTGGCCATCGTGGTCAAAGAGCCCTCAGCTGGACCCTCAGGCGACGCGGAGCCACGGGACGACCCCGGCCACACCGACGGTGCGTCCCGCCCCCCTCCCGGTGCCCGCCGCCGACGGCGTCGTAAGGAAGCCTTCGATCGCCGCCCGTGTCGGGGTAGGTCTTTCACCACGGCGGTTGGGCGGCCGAGCACATCGAAAGTTGATGCTTCCGATTTCCGTACGACCGCGGCGGGGACGCAGGGCTGCGCCGCGACCGGCGGGCTTGCAGAGCTACCGGCAGAAAGGCTGGTCGCGGAATTCTGAGTCACGTCCGTGCGCGGCGCCTGGTGCGCATGCCTGGGTGCGGTTGGTGTGGTGCTGTCCAACGGCGGTTTGCGCGAGGCCGGGGCGCGGCCACGACAGCATCGAGGATCGCACCCCCGTGGGGTGGGGGCTGGGTGCCCGATCAGCTGCCCGCGGGGTGAGGTACGCCGGATTCATGTTTGGGCGTGTCCGTGTCCGTGTCCGACACGGCGCTGGGCCGGGGTGGCCGCCTCGCTCACGGCATCCACGGGGGCTGCCAGCTGTGTTGGCCACGCGCAGCGCGAGATATGCAGTGCGAGACGGCGTTCGGTGACCGATGCTTGCGCGTTTGAGGGCGCGGGAGAGGCGTGTAGCGGCGCCGGGGCTGATGCGCAACGCGGTGCGCGCCGACGCCGTCTGGAAATTTGTGGGAGCGGGAGCGAGGGGAGGGAGTTCCGACCTGCGCAAAGGGGGGTGGGGTGGGGAGCGAGGGGGAGGGGGGGACTGCGCCCGGAAAGGTGCAACCTGCTGGCGCGGTTGACGGGGATGGCGGCAGTCGGGCGTAGTGTGTGGGACCGCGGGTCAGATGGGCATGCACGCGGGGGACCGGCTGTGACCTGATTCCAGTTTGATTTGGGAGAATTGCGGCTTCGATTGCTACGAACCCGTTCTTTTGGGACAATATCATTATGGTCTCCCGCGCCGCAGTGGGGATACTCGGAGGTGATGCCCTTTGTTTGCGTGTTGCCGAGGGGAACCAAGGCGGGTCAGTGTGGGAATATGGCGAATGGTCGGGAACATTCAGGCCAATTCGCTCCAAAGGCAGATACCTGGCTTCCGGCTGCTCCGTAGCAAGAGCTAAGCAGCTTGGCCCCGAAAAATTCACTCTGGCAGCAACAACCCAACTATTCGCAACTGTTTTCCGGACTGCAGTCCGCAACTCGCAGCCAGCGCACACCATCCCCATCCCCTTGTCTGCTCGTGCTTGATGCGCAGATCCGCCACCACACAACCAGCACAAGCACCCGCCGTGACGTACCGAGTGCGAGATCTGTACCTCTCTCGGTTTGGGAGCCATGGTCGGGAAACTCCCCACGTGATTGTGTTCTATTTCGCCAGCAGTCTGCGCCGCTTGCAGTCCGCGCCGCTGCGCGCCCAACAGTGGCCTCAGGATCTGCAGCCCAGAGCCCAACCTGGGTTGCGCTTTTAGCGTTGTGGTGGTGTCTCTGGGAAGACTGTAATTCGCACGCAACCGCGCGCAGCCCTCGGCCCCCAGCCCAGCCGATTGAAAGCTTCAGAAACTTCAGAAACTGTGTCGCTACCGTCGTTGTGCGAGCGCACACGCCGCCAAGCGGTGCGCTGCTGCTGCGCGCTCCGCGGAACTTCTCCCACGCTTCCTCGCGCTCGCGCCAGCTCCGCTCGTTCCCGCCCCGGGCTCTTTGCCACCAACGGGGGCGCACGGGCCCCGACAAAGCCCCGACAGCAAAGCCCGCACACGTGTCGTATGTGGCGTGACCCCGCATACGACGCCTCCGCGTGATGTTTACTCAGCGCGGCGCGGCGCGGCTGCCGCGCGTGGGGCGCCTTCCGGCCCCACGATTCCCAATCAGGTGCTGCAGCACGGGCCTAAAGTACCGGTGCCTGCCCGGATCTCCGGGCTCCGTCAAACCCGGTGCGGTGTCCGGCGGCCCGCAAACGGCCCCATTAAACCCCCAAACGCCCCTTAACGCGTCGAAATGACCTAAAATGACCAAATGGCCCTTTAATTGGCGCCGTCCAGGCGCGGGCCCTCCGCGCCGGGACACATCGCGGAACATTCAGGGCCGCAGCGCCCAGCATCCGTGGCAGCGTCATAACAGCTCCCACCCCCCTCCGCGCCTGTGCTCCGCTGCTCCCAGCGCCTCCGGCCCCTTTGCACGGCCCCCCGCGCTCTCCCAAGCCCGCTTACCTCGCGTGGCGCGGCCGCCACCGCGGGTGGCAGCAGTCAACTTGAGTCAACACTTGGGCGGCCCATCCCCGCGCCGGCTCGGCGCCGCCAGGACACCGGCCGGGCCACCGCGAAGCCCTGCGCCGCTGGCCGTAACGCACGGGCCATCGAGGCGACACCCGGAACGTGACGCGGAGTCTGCCGCCGGTGAGGGGCCGTCTGGGCGCTGCGGTGCGGGGTTGGCGGCCGGGCGGGGTGGTTGGGGCGCGGCGCGCCGTGCGCTGGCGGGTAGCCGCCGATTGCGCGGTCCTAAGGCACCGGGTGGCCCGCGTTCCGGGCGGGGCGCGTTTTTTGCCGAAGGCATCGAGGCGCGGCTGACCCGGGTTTGTTGTGGCCTGGCGCTTGGCTGCAGGTTTCGAGGTGGGTGCCGGCGCCCGGCGGCGGGGTAAGCTTGCCGTGGGCGGAGTCATCACTCTCAAGGCGTTTGCTGTCGGCCAGCTACCGCACGAAGGAGGCCGGAGGGCGCTTTGGGGCGGCGCGGCGCTCGGAGCTGAGCCGGGCGAGAGATCCCGGGTGGTTGAGCCCCACGTGCGCTCGAGGCTGGCCGGCGTCGGAGGGCAGTCGAAGATGATGACCGAGAAGAAGTGCAGCAAGTGCGGCGGCGTCAAGCCAGCTTCGCAGTTCTACCGCGACGCCAGCAGCTCCACGGGCCTGGACAGCTGCTGCCGCGAGTGCCGGCGCGCCTACGCGCGCAGCCGGCCCAAGCGCGACTGCCCGTCGGTGGACGCCAAGATCTGCAGCCACTGCTGCGAGGTGAAGCCGGCCTGCGAGTTTGGCAAGAACGCACGCGAGTCGACGGGCCTGCAGCCGTGGTGCCGGGCGTGCCACT